AAGAAAGAATAGAAAGAAGAGAAAGAAGAATAAAGAAAGAAAATCAAATAGGGATAGTAAAGGGTAATACATCAATACAATATAATACATTACAATACAATACAGACAGCAGACCCACCCACCCGAGCGGCCAGTCACCGTGCGAGTACCTGCACTGACTATGGGGCCCCCAGCTTAATCCCAGGTACCTCACCCGCCTCTCCCTCTCTCTCTCTCTCTCTCTCTCTCTTCTTTTCCCACGAGGCTCCAACTCCAACTTCTCTCACTTCACTCTCTCTCTCTCTCTCTCTCTCTTCCACTTCACTTCTCTCCTCTCTCTCCTCTCTCTCCTCACTTCTTCATCCTCTCCACCCCATCTCTACTTCCTCCATCTCTACTTCACTTCTCAACTCATCCCTCTTATCTTCAGATTGATCCACTCTTGAATTGCCCTCGGTTATCTCCCCTCTGGGAACCACTCTCGCTGCTCCGGCTCTCCCATCCATCCAATTCCCCTCCTTTGCCCACTCCTCCCCTGGTGAGTCTGGTTCCATTCGATTGCCCGTCCGTGGTTGTCATCTCCTGCCTCTGTTTCCTGCCTCTGGACCAAACCTACTTCCCCAGCTCATACGGTGGATCTCCTTCCCCCCCAGGAACCCGTCTCGCCACCCCAACCCACTTGCCCGCGTGGCTGTTGACATTCCCGTCCACTGCCGCTTCGTCGCTCCCCAGCATTACCGACGGTCCCGCTGCTGGTTCCCTCGACCGGTCGACGTGCGTTCCCGACATCTCCGTCCCCCTCGCGTCATCTTGAACCCTTCTCTTGCCCTTTATGACATTTCGGGGTTGTCCTCTCCCAATCACACAGTCCACTAACGCCGGTACATGTGCTTAGGGTCAATGTCGAGTCGCCTCGCGTGATTTCTTCCGCATCCATCCTCATCCCTTTCTCTCGCTCTCTTTCTCTTCTCTCTCTCTCTCTCTCCATCCATCTCTCACCACCCTCTTCAATCATCCTTTCTATCTCGATCGCCCCATCGTAGGATGCTAGTCGACACCATGGTGGCTCAAGATCTGGGCCCAAACCCCAATGGCAACGATCTCGCCAGCATCAGGGAGGTCCCCGGGGATGTCTCCGGTGAGTGTCCATCTGGCGCGCCCTCCACAACGCCTCCATCCTAATGGTCCTTCCCCCCACAGCCCCCTCGACCAAAGACAGGGTGAAGTCGTCGGACGCGGGCGCCCCCGCCATCCCGCCTCCCAAGACGGATAAACCCCGCCCCCACGGCTGCACCACTTGCGGCCGCTCGTTCGCGCGCCTCGAGCATTTGAAGCGCCATGAGCGCTCCCACACCAAGGAGAAGCCCTTTGAGTGTCCCGACTGTTCCCGCTGCTTTGCGCGCCGCGATCTGCTGCTGCGACACCAGCAGAAGCTGCATATGACCACCACCCCCGCCGCCCGCCCCCGCAACGGCCGTCGGGAGAGCACCGGCGGCGCCAGCACCGCCAGCACCAACCGCGTGCGCAAGAACTCCATGGTCGGCGCCCAGGCCCCCGGCACCATGCGCCCGCGCGCCAACACCATCAGCCACGTCGACGGCGCCGCCCTGGGCCTCGGCCCCACCCCCTCGCCGCCACCGCTCCCACCCCCACCCCCACGGCCACGGCCACGGCCACGCCTACCACCCCAGCCTGGGCTCCGCCCCCGTCGGCTCCCACCTGGACTACCGCGGCTTTGGCGCCGGCGCGCCCGGCCTGGCCAAGCTCGACACCCACGGTCTCTCCCTCGATCTGGGCGGCGGCCTGCGCACCGCCCCGGTCTACGGGAGCGTCGACGGTGGCCTCGGGGAGCTGTTCATGGGCCACGGGAGCACCGTCAATCCCGCCCAGCTGCATTTCGGCGGCTCCCCCCCGCCTCCCTTCGACACCCCCACGTCGCCCTACGGCCACGGCCCCGCCATGGCCCCGCCGCCGCCCACCGACCCCATGCTCGAGGACGAGTTCAGCTTCGACTGGCTGAACGGCTACGACCCCGCGGCCCCCGTCGGCGCCCATCCGCACGAGTCCGCCCTCGACGGCTCGTCCCCCTCGGCCATGAGCACCGGCAGCCAGAGCGGCATCAGCGAGGCCCTGCTGGACGGCACCGCCCGCTTCCCCATGCCCGCCGCCAGCTGGCACAATCCTTTCCCGACCGGCCACCACGGCCTCCCGAGCGTCCCCGTCGACTTTGGCGCGGGCAGCGGCGGCCCGGGGCCCGATCCCCTGGGTGGGGCGCCCCCGGAGACCGTCTCCCCCAAGTCCCTCATGGCGCAGACCCACAACCCCTTCGCCGAGACGTACGCCACGCCCCCCTCCATGACGGCCGTGGGCCCGCCCCTGCTGGGTGGTCATCACGCGCAGAGTATGTTTCCATCCTCCATGGCACCTCGCGGAGACTCTCCTAATCCTCGCAACCTGGCGTTCGCGCATAGTGCCCTACGAGCTCCCCACCGTTCCGCCCCGGATACCGTTACCGACGCCACCCGACAGGCTCTACTAGTCGGCCTCGCCCCGCCCATCGCGGGCGGCGGCGGCGGCGGCGACCCGCTGCCCCGCACCCCCGACCTGCAGCGCTACCTCACCGCCTATCTCACTGATGTTCACCCCCACCTGCCGTTCCTCCACCCCCCCACCCTCGACTTCCAGGCCCCGAGTACACCCCCCGCGCCGGCCCCGCCCCGGCGGGGCCTCCTCCTGGCCATGGCCGCTCTCGGCGCGCGCTTCGCGGGCGACTCCGCTGCCGCGCAGGATCTGTTCGCCGCTGCCCAGACGATGATCCAACGGCCCCTCGAGGATTTCGAGGAGCACCGCCGGGTCGCGTCGCCCCCGCCGCTGTGGCTGGTCCAGGCGCTGCTGCTCATCGTTCTCTACAGTCACACGGGCGATGACCCGGCGGCGGCCGACCGCGCCCGCCCCCAGTGCGCCGCCCTCGTGCGTCTGGCGCGCGCCCTCGAGTTGCCCGCGGCCGCGGACGACCGGCCGCCGGATCCCCACCCCGCCGCCGCACCGGGGTCCGACCTACCCGCGGCACGGCGGGCCTGGCTGAACTGGACGGCGGGCGAGGCGCGGACGCGGACGCTGTCGGCCCTCTTTGTGCTCTCCGCCTTCCTCGTCGCCGCCTACCACCAGGCGCCGGCGCTGACCAACTCGGAGCTCCGCCTCGACCTGCCGTGCGAGGAGGCCCTCTGGGCGGCCGAGTCCCCGCAGGCGTGGGCGCAGCGGGGCGGGGCCGCCGCGGCGCGGGCCGACCGGGTGTCGTTCGCGACGGCGCTGACGACGCTGCTGACGGCCAGCCAGCGCGGGGTGGCCCCCCCGCCGGACGACCTGCGGCCCAGCACGTTCGGCTGCCTGGTGCTGATCTACGCGCTGCACAACTACATCTGGGAGACGCGGCAGCGCCACCGAGGCCGGCCGTGGACGGCGCGCGAGACGGACGCGATGCAGGCGCACCTCGAGCCCGCGCTGCGGGCGTGGCAGACGGCGTGGGCGCGCCACCCGGCCCACAGCCTCGAGCACCCCAACCCGTTCGGTGCCGGCCCGCTGTCGGCGGACAGCATCCCGCTGCTGGACCTGGCGTACGTGCGGCTGTTCGTCGACCTCGGCCGCCGTCGGGCGGTGTTTTGGGCGCCCGACGAGACATCCTTGCCGGCGGGGTTGCCGGACGCGGCGGGTGGTGACGATGCCTCCGACGCGCTGCCGACGGCGGTGTTGGATCCGTCGATGCGCCCGCCGGACGCGGGTGCGGGGAGCGTGGGGATGCCGTCGCCGCGCGAGCGGCACCTCCGGCGGGCGGCCTTTTACGCGGCGGACTCGATCGCCATGTCGCAGCGGCTGGGAACCACGTTCGCGGCGTCGCCGTGCCGGGACCTGCCGATCCAGTCGGCGCTGTGCGCGTTCGACTGCGCCCAGGTGCTGGCGGAGTGGTTAGCGACGGTGGAGGGGCGGGCGTTGACGCCGGACCCCGGGCTGGAAGAGGAGGACCGCACGCTGGTGGCGACGATCGGCACGATCCTGGCGCGGATCGAGGCCCAGGGATCGGGGTCCCCCCGGGTGGCGGGGGGATACGGGCCGCAGATTCTGGTCGCGACGGCGGGACTGCTCGAGCGGGCGAGGGTGTGGCCGGTGACGGGGCTGATGGCACGGTCGTTGGAGGCGCAGGCGCGACGGCTGCAGGGGCGGCCGCTTTCATAATGGCCCGTTGTTTGTTTGATATTGTTCACCATCAGGTGTAATCATTGGGAGGATACCCGGTGTGTGCGTTGTATATATGTTCTAGTATGATGGTATTTCTATTGACAGATTGATTCTCTGATTGGGGTGATTAGGGCCAGCAGCAGACTGTACAAGACAGTAGAAGTATACAGATAAAAACTACTCTATAGTCTCCAGTATACTCTTTTCTTCATACTCTATATATTATTGCATGGTCAAATAAATAGTCTATTATCATATACTATTATGAGTCAGGATCTCTGCAGATTGTCTATCTGGATATTATCTCCTCCATCTACCTATCTAATTAGATTAAACCATATTAGTCTATTTATAAATGCAACCTCACCACGTCCGCCCCCAAATCGAACGAATCCAGATCCACCGCAGCCAAAACACGACCAACGCAATACCAGTCCAGGAAGGACGCCGTCTCTACACAGCCTGGCAAGCCCGATCCTAGCCTGACAAGCCTAATGCTCGTATCAGCCCCCATCTGACTCGACTAGACCCTTTCGGGCCTCGCCTGGATGAATGAGAGTCAAGCTGACAGCGCCACCACTGCAACGGCACCAACGCAGCCTTTGTGTGTTTCATTTGCTCCGCCTGATCGTGCGTTTGCTGGAATGAAAGGCTGGCCGGTCTGTCTTTTTCATTTGTCTTGTTTTCTGCCGTCGGTCTGTTTCTGCTTCTGTTGTCGGTCTTGTTGATTTCTTCTCTCGCGCTGTTCATCGGATGATTCTCTGTCTGTTATAGTTATAGATTCCAAAATGGGTTCTCCATCATTATCATCCAGAGAAGCGACAAAGTCAACAGCCGTCTCCTCCCGAGGAAAAGAAACCCACGTCGTCAAGGTCGGAGCAAGAGAAGATCCCCATCAGTTCGACCCTCACACGGTCGTCGCCGCTCCCGGGGATGTCATCTCGTTCGAGTTCTATCCGCGCAATCACTCCGTCGTCAGGGCCGATTATAAAGCGCCCTGTGTGCCTTCCAAAGATGGACTGTTCTATTCGGGCGCGTTTGATAAGTTTAACGAGGTCGATGGACATCTACAGGGGGGTGTATGTCTTCTTTTCTTCCTCTTGGGCGGGTTTTCAACCGATGTGTTCTTATGCTGACGACTGCAGCCTCCGACATGGGAATTGACCATCAATGACACCGAGGTAGGCTTCCTTCTCAACATCTCTCTATGTCTGTCGACCTATCTAACAAGTCAGCCCATCTTCTACTACTGCACCGCCATCGACTCCTGCATCAAAAATGGCATGGTCGGCGCCATCAACCCGGTATGCCCTCTCCTTTACTGCCTCAAAACCACCACTAACCAAATAGAATAAATCCATGACATGGGAAACCCAAAACGAAAAAGCCAAATCCTACCCCTACATGCTCGTCCCAGGCGAGCCCATGCCCGCCGAAGGAGACCTCCCCCCTTCCTCCTCCTCCTCGCCCTCCCCCGACGCCGCCACCTCCCACGCCGTCCTCAGCAAAGGCGCCATAGCAGGCATCGCCGTCGGCGCCGCCGCCTTCGTCATAATCCTCATTGCCCTCTTCTTCGTCCTCGGCCGTCTCGGCGTCTACCGCCAGTGGATGCGCTCGTCAGCCGTCGGCGACGACCGCGCCGAGCGAACCGCCCGCTGGGCCTTCTTCCACGGCGGCCCGACCACGCAGTCTGCGGCGACTCGCTCGAACGGGAAGAGCGAGCCCCTGTCATCTGCTTCGCCGATGGGTCCCCACGGCGGTGCGGGCGGTGCACCGGAGTATCAGCCTGTGCCTATGGGGAGTCCTGAGATGGGCCATGGCGGTTGGTCTGGGCATACGTCTATGCACGGGATGCAGATGCCGATGCATCCGCAGAGTCCGCCTCCGCATTGGAGCTGGGAGGGCAGCCAGTTCGGTCAGATGCAGCAGGTGCAGCAGGTGCAGCAGGGGGTACATGTTGTTCCGATGAGGGAGCCGATGGAGTTGGAGGGGAATCGGCCGGGAGAGAGATGATCTTCCCCCTTTTCTGCTATATTTCTCTTTTCTACAACCGTTTGACGTCGTCTGTGCTGTTGCACTGGTCGGGACTATCTCCATCCTGGATAATGCAAGAAGCGATGCCATTATCTTTGAGAGGACACCGAGCGTGCACCTGCCAGTCTTTGAACCAGTCTCGACAACAGCAACTCAAAACTCAGGAAGCATCTGACAGCGTCTAACACTGTTTGAGGGTGAGACTGACGTGCATGGCATAATCTTATCTTCCTTTCCTCGTTCCATTTATTCTCGTCCCTTTCAGCTCGCTACGGATGGTCTAGACAAACGGTCTCTCTTACCCCTGTTATTCCATACCTACCTACTACTTACACCCTAACCACCCATTACCCCATGTCTGCCCCTTTCTAAAGATCATACCCAACTTGCCCATTATATTATACGGATCTCTACGTTCACTGTCGTCTTGCAGCTAGTTACTTTGGTTGGGCTCGTTATGATAGATTATCGATCGATGTATATACTTAATTGATACTTCCAAACTCCTTTAACAATCTAATTGGAATATAAGAAGATATGATTTGAGATTAGCATGTAGATTTGGTATAGCATATAGAATACAATAGACATTGTTCTATATAATACAGCATGCCATAAGAAAAGGGTATACCGTATCATATAACGTACTATCATATATCTTAAAGGCCAAAAAGAAGAAGACTAACTAGTTATATCCCTCATAACAGGCCCAACACCCACATCCACCCCCATCCAACAAACCTCAACTGCATCCCCCACGCCCACAAACTCCAACACGATGGCTTTATTTTCCTGTACTTCAAAGATAGGCGGTTCACCACTACCCACGCCCATCCCAACCCACTCCGTGCCTCCCTCTCTGAGTATCAACCGCGCAAGATGGCGGTCTCTGGATGGGGTGGAAGAAGAAGAGTCCACTGTGGAAAAAACATCAAGGGTTTGCGAGCCTGTTGAGCGTAGGCTGGTCTTGCTATTGCTGGTGCTGAGGTGGAAATCTAACTGGTATGTCTGTCCTGTAGAGAGGTCGAACGTGACAAGGCAGGTTGTGTCGCGATATGGGTGGATTGGGTCTTTGAGGATGTGGAAGGTATCGTTGTCTTTCGTTTTATTGGCGATGTTGTTGTTGTTGTTGTTGTTGTTGTTGAAACTGCCAATGCAGCGATTGCGGGTGCGCGTTGGGTGAATGAGGATGGGCCTAGGCTGTTTGGAGGGTCGTTTCTTGAGGGTGAGAGTTGTTGCTGTTGCTGTTATAGCAGCTGCTGTTGCTGCTGCTCCTGCTGCTCCTGCTGCGAGGAAGGCGAGGGTGGATTTCATGGTGATATCTAGATATATAGATGTGTAGTAGGAGGATAGATGTGTAGGTAGAGAGTAGATTAGAAGTAGATATAGTCATTGATAACCCCAGAGTAAAGGAATAGAAATAGGTACCTGATACCATCAAGGTCATACCTATACTTAGTGATAATGATGTGGTGGCTCGTGATTGGTCTAGCCCTAATTATACCAATCCATCTCTTGATATTATAGGTATCTTTATCTGTATCTTTATATCATGGTTATTGTAGATATCCAACTCCATGATACTGTTGAGCATCTACCATTGTACTCTCTAGAGCATAAAGAAACTTAAAGTCTAGACTAAATTTATATCTAGTCTCATCTACCAGTCTTTGTCAGTATATGATGGCCATCAGTCTCAATTTCAAACACGCCACTCTCCATCTAGTCCAGCAACAAAGTGATCTCAATGAATGATATTCTAATTTTTTCTATCACATAGAATGACTTTGTCTACTCCGTACATCCATTTTCTTTATAGACAAAGGATCTAGATTCATATCATGTTCACAGCTTGCCAGAACTAGACAGACAATAGAGTCAAGAATACTGGATTGTCTGTCCCCAACATCAGACTCCTTGTCAATCCATCAACATATAAATAGGCCCTCCCTCCTGTTTCTCTGGTCGACTTTTCAACCTTCATCCTTTAATACCCTCCCCTCGTATATTCTCCACATAGCCTATATATCTTTATGAACTCCCGTATCACGCTACTTTCCATCACCCATCAAATCCAATCTATTCATTCCAAATGATCTATTTTTGGACGTGCGGAAAACCGCCAAGGGGCATATGCCTCCGCAAAGGTCATATAAAGACCTGCACAGTCTGCGCCATGGATTGGTGCTCGATCCGTGGACGAGATCAATGTCCGCGCTGCAAATACCAGCGCGGCCATATTGGTAACCCAGCCACCACGAAGCGTAAGACCCAGAAGAGGGGGTAAGTGGGCCTGGGTCTTTCTTTTGGTTTTGTTTTGTTGTTCGTTCGTTGTTCTGCTGTTCCGTCTTCCAGAGACAGTTTGCGTTGGCTGGATGGAGACATCCAGGCGTATACGACTGATAGACCATTGAGACAAATGATATGGGAGTATTGGAAGTTGTGACATCCATATCCAGTGGCCAGACACGCATGCTTTACGCAACTGGTTTGTATTCCTGCTTGTAACAGTACTATTTGGCTATGTAGACCCTATCTTGGACGGCTGGTCCATTGGACTGCACATACTGGAAGATTGGATAGATGGGAGTTTGTAGATATATTGGCTTGGGATGCCTGGTATGGTTTGAATACAGTAGAAGTGACTGCAATTGGTTTCATGCCAAATAACCTGTAGGGTCCTTTACCCACACGTATGACTATCTTGTCTTTCAACCATCTGCAACATTCTTCATAGGACTGAATATCATCACATTAATTGTTTCTGACGCGCTTTCTTCGCCTTTCCCCACACTATCCTTCTACCATATAGAGCAGCTGTCTACACCTATCATATATACAGACAAGTAGCTGCTGATTTGTATATACATCGACAGATTGTCAGAGCTACACAGACAGTAACATCCAAGATTACTGAAGACTATCCAACTTGACATGATAAAATATGCTGGTTCATCCATATGAACATCCAGATAGATCCCCTCTCCTGTTCAATCTTATTATCTATCATCTATCATCAACTATAACTTGATATATGCCACTTTCCATATTCTACACTCAGTACATAATGTATATCCTATATAATCTGTGATACCGTTACCTATACAACCTGGACTATCAAACACCACTTTCCTAAGTGTCACCGCGTGTAGCAGCTGGTAGCCTGGGACTGTGCTGGTATTTGCAGTTGGGGCATCTATCGCACCCACGAAAATTGCACCACTTTTTGGTGCAATCTTCGTGGTTGCAACAAATGCCCAAATTGCAAATACTAGCACAATCATGGTGATAACCAACCGCCACGCATGATGTTACCCGGAGAAAGGGTGGTATGAAGTGCTGGGTATATCAGTCAGGTTCAGCCCTCAACCAAACGTTGGATCAACGTTTTGGTGTAGTGGTCTTGAGAATATATCCAATATAATTTGTGATACCGTTACCTATACAACCTGGACTATCAAACACCACTTGTTTCTCAAGCGTCACCACGTGTAGCGGCTGATAGCCCGAGACTGTGCTGGTATTTGCAGTGTGGACATTAATCTCGTCCATATATAGAGCACCGCCTTCTGTCACAGGATCTGCATGTCAGGTCCTGCAATAAGAGGCGGTGCTCGATCCGTGGACGAGATCAATGTCCACGCTGCAAATACCAGCGCAGTCATGATGATAAATAACCGCCACGCGTGATGATACTCGGGGAAAGGGTGGTATTAGGTGTTGGGTATATCAGTCAGCTTAAGCCCTATGCCAATCGTTGGACCAACGTTTTGGTGTAGCGGTCTTGAGATCCCAACAGCTTATATAACTTGATCGTTATAACATATACAATGCATCCAAAATGATGCACTGCCTGAAAGATAGATACTCTGCAAACAATACATGCTCCCATAAAGGCCACATATCAACGTGCGTATGCTGCGCCATGAACTGGTGTCCTGTTCTTGGTCACAGCAAAGGCCTAAACAGCACCAACAGGCGCAACCATGGTGGCAACCAGTCAGCATGCACGGTGACACTCAAAAGAATATCCTGTTTGGGCATTTACTGCGACCAAAACGAGGACACCAACTCATGTGCGGCATTCGCAGGTGTGATATGGCCTTTATGGGAGCATGTAGTTTGATAAGCGTCCATACTTAAGCAGTGCATCACTTTGTATAAGCACTTGAAGTGATATGGTGATAACAAGCAAGTAATATACGAATAAAGAATGTGTAAGATATGGCGAGCATAGAGTATAGAAAGTGGGATATGTAGAGGTAGAGAAGAGGATGGGTGATAGAGAATGGGATCAGAGGGCAGGAGGAAGGCCTATTTATGTATTTCGATCAATAAACAAGCATAGTCTCATGGTCAGGATTTCGAACCGGGATTCCTCGAATCCCATCGAGCTGATCCCCTTCAGTAGGGATGATACGGAGTCTTCTTTGTTTCCTTGAGCGTGGCGTTTTCCGAGTCAAGTCACCAGGTGTCTGGTGATATCAGCAGAAAGAACTCAGCCAAAGATAAGGGATAAAAACAGAAACAGCCAAAAAGGAGAAAGAAAGAAAGAACAAACACCGCTGACTCGGTCTATACGCCGAGTATCTGCGCCCTTGGAATCCCCATGCCCGACAAGGGTGGACCCAAGAGTAGGTGCCCCAAGAACAAAGCGTGAGACCCGAAAGAGGGTGGTAAGGTGATCCAGGCCTTCCTTTTCTTCTTTGTTTTGCTAACCTTCTAACCTCCTTTCTTCTGTCTCTTGGTCTAGAAACAGGTAGAGTTAACTGGGTAGAGACATATCAATAGTCAAAACTGATAGACAATCAGAATGGATGTCATGAGACTGGGAGCCACGATACTTTAGACAACCGGTCTGACACGCATATACTGCATATTCCTTTGTATTCCGACTCGACACGTTGAGTCTATTGGACTGATACGTTGGAGGAATGGACAGATGGGAGTTCGTAGATGTATTGGCCTGGGATGCTTGGTATGGTGTGATCACCATCGATATTTTCATTGAGATATATGTAAATGATTGAACGGAGTAGTAAGGACCTAGAAAGATTCACTCCTCTAGAAATCTATATCACGGTAGATCAAACACATAGGTTAGCACGTACCTCGATTATCCTTCTGGCCATTCCATCATCAACTCGAAGTCCTGGTAGTGACATGAGACCCTGTTCAAGAGCATGTCTTACAATGAAAGTCTGCTCGGACGTCATGCGATGACGAATCGGAATGGACTCACCAGCCATCCGACCCAGGTCCACTTCATAAAGCTACGAGTCCAACCCGCTGTTTGGACCAGAAACCAAGAAAATCCCACAGTGGTCTATTGTCTATCGATGAGAAGAAATACAAGAGTCCAGGCAACCAACCGATCACCATAACATAACACCCCAGAACAGGGTTCCCCCAGACTCCGACCCCCTGAATGCTCGTGCTCCCCACTCTGGGACGTGTTTGCCCAACCTGGACCAACTCACCGCCGTACTGGAAGAGATAGAGTACCGATTATCGTATCGAGTGCCATCACGGTAAAGTGTAAAGTCTCCCTCTTGGCGTCAAAGACGGTCTGGACATGATGCTCCAGTAGGCAGACTGTGCCTTCCTGGGTTGTCTCCCAACAGAATCTGCTCAAATCAAGGGCCGAGAGATTCGCAACGATGAACCCGGCGTGTGCGACCACTGTCAGTGGTCAGAAAGTCATCTGTTAAAGCTGCAGCACTTCCCTCTTACCATCAGACTGGGCAGTGTCAGGCCGGTGCCATTCCTCACAAGAATAGACGGGTATTGTCATCACCGCGGTTTCGTGGTCTGCAAATAGCCGATAGAGGGTGTGAACCCGGGTCTCTTCATGGTGTATTTCCTCACCCTGATGCAATGTCTGTCAGTCTAGCAGCCGTTTCCTGAGAGGGGGTAAGCTTACCTTGGCGACCACCCACGATACCAGTTCCTCGGCCCGCACTTGCACGTTCCCATCACCGCATGGCACCATGATAGGTGACCGGCAAGACCGGAGCCCATAATGCCGAGGACTGTCGAACACATCCCGGGAGCGGGTCCGTAGGCCATGTAGTACCAATCCGGTGGCGACAGCGAGTGCTCTACAAAATGCGTTAGTGACTTGGGTTGCTGACTGGAGGGTGGACTCACGGATCTAGGTCGCGAGGGACAGTCACGGCCAACTTCCCTGATATTTCAAAACATCCGCGCAGTGCTTTCTGAATGTACGGCGAGGAGGCTACTCCGCCAACAGGAAAGATTCGCTAGACGCATGATGTGAGTTTAGTCATTGAATCTTACTTACAAGTAGTGTACCTACATTAATCACTGGTGAGCCATAAGCTATATCTGCAGCCATGACCTGCGAGCTAACCAAGGCAGTGATCTTAGCGATAACTGGGTCAAACAAATGTTGCATGTCCTCGGGGAAAAGAGTAAATGTCTTAGTTTCAGGGTCATAGTATGGCAACGTGCAGTCCTCCCTTAGTCTTCTTGGCTCAAGTGGTAATCTATGAGTCTTCCGGGGCACATCCAGACCAAATTGCTGTTTGACATCTTCAAATGCGGTCATGAATTCGCTCCTAGGGGCAATGAGGTGATTCAAGGAATCAAATGTGTAGGGGAGCCGCTGCCTCATCAGATCATAGAGTCGACTGTCGATGGCCGTGCCGCCACATTTCCCCCCTGCAAGATGTCAGGACCATGTCATCGAAGGTGAAGCTACGACATCTGCCACTGACCTTGTACGCTGGTGAGCTTGAGCAAGTTGAAATTTAGGCAATCGGTCACCAGATAGGCCGCAATGTCCTTGCGAGGCACAGTCAGCACCTCCTTCCCCAATGCCACTCCATCCGTGGCGGAGTTTCAGCAGCGTGGGTTACGTACCACGGTTCCACCGCCACAGTCGCAGATCAAAATCCCGTCTCCAGCCTTGAGCTGGGGCCCGAATTGCCGGTAGATTACTTCCGCAGCCGCCTCAGGCTCGGACATAAACGCCAACGTGCTCTGTGGTCCTCTGTCACCCCAGGCATGGGTCATTGCGCGCTCGCTCAATTGTCGCGCTTTCTGGGACCATGTAGCGGGAACGGCAAAGCGAACGTCGACGGGGACTTGGCCGAACCCCGGAACTTGCAAACGCATGAAGCGGCACGCATAGTCCAACACGTGTTTGAGGTAGTCGGCAACGACGTCGACGGGCTCTTTCTGACCCGGGCGAACAATGCCCCGGGAAACCGTGTTCCTCAGAATCTGGTCGTCAAACTGGGCAGGTTCCACATGGTCATCCAGGAGAAGCTTTGTCCAGGAGTATGCCTTCATTTCATGCTCGATCTCAAACCCCCAGCATGGCGAGCGCATGGAGAACGATGAATTATCGGACTGATATGCGATGCTGGAAGGGACTTTGCGTGCTGCCGAAGCCTTCCGCCACGTGTCGATGAATTCAACGTCCGAGAGACTGTCTCGACCCTGACCCTGGACAGGGATGACGCTGATCTCTATCGGCCAGGTCGTTAGCACACCGCACCGTCGTGTCTTGCGCGTGACGCGAAACTTACTTGTTGCTGTGGTCCCGTAGTCAATGCCGACGATAATCCTATCTGGGATGTGACCCGTGGAAGACCGGGACGATTTGTCCATGAAGTCCCTGCTGCTGTTGGACGCCATCATCGATCTTGCTCTTCTTGCGGCCTTGCCCTCTCACAAGACGGGGCGGCGCGTTGGCCCTTTTTTAAAGACCGACCTGCCGCTGAAGCAGCCCGCACAAGAACCACGATGGGCCCTTGTCCGTTCACATCTTCCTCATACTGATCCTCTCTGACACTTGTCTCGGTTCAAGGTGGTCGCTATCCGTCTTGGGGTGGGGGGTGTTTCGCCGACGATCCGGGCCATGGCGACGTCTTTCCCGGAGACTAGGGACATATAACACCACATGGCCCTCGTGTGCATTGTTGTGGTGGTTCAGAGTCAACAACACTGCAAGTCATAGTTGGGCAAACCAATCATAACCGCGACGCCAAAATGTTGACCACCGTTTGGTCTAGGGCTTGAACTGACTGATATCCCTACCAGTAGAGACGGACGCTGCACATGATCTCAGGGCCTTATTGATTGTTCGTCAACATCCCCCTGGTGAGCATGGACTTTCCATCGGATTGATTCAGGGTCCGACAAGATCGTTTGGTCCACGGGTGTGTATATGTGTGTGTTGGAGTCCATTCTAACACACACACTCCGAAACCGGAATGGAGATCTTGGAATCTTACGAAGCTGACCTCTTTCAGTGGCGATGATGAACACAGAGGCTTCTTGGTTTTCCTGAGCGTGGCGTTTCCAGACTCATGTCACCAGGTGTCTGGTGACGTCGACAGAGGGACCTGAATCAAAGGGAATGAGGGATTAAAAAACAGAAACAGCGAAAAGAAAAGAAAAGAAAAGAAAGAAAGAAATAAATAAATAAATAAAGAAAAAGAGAAACATACCCCAGGTGGCTGTGCCCCTGCAGTCCGGATGCTGGACAAAGGACCCGAATGGTTGAACGAATGGTTGGAGCGCCTTTGACCAGATTCCGGTGGGAGCAATCCACGCGTGAAAGTGACACAAAGAGCCCGACAGGAGAAGGAGTGAAACAAAGGAAAGCTGCAGGGACGCTCCACTGATGTCCCTCTATGTCAGATCAAACGCCAACTTCTTCTCCGTCCGGGGGAGGGGCTGTCTTGGGAGAGACATAAAGGAGGTCATCCGCCCGTTACTACGTGACTTCCCCCCAGCGGCCACGACATATTCTCATCACTCGATTCGAATACCTCTTTGGTTCTTTGACAGCCACCTACGCTACCCACCATGCCCGCTAAGAAGCGTAAGGCAACGGCGGCAAACGCCCAAAACAAGGCAAGTACCATCCATTCCAGCCGTTGAAGGGACGGCCTTTGACGCAATGGCAGAATGGTCAAAAACGGCCGGCCTTCCTCAACCCTCCAACCAATCCAGGGAAAATCGACACCGGTGCCTCGGAGGAAGACATCCAGGGTTCCAACGTGGAAGGTTCTACTGTCGTGCCGGCAGACGATACAAAGAACCATCTGGAGAAGTACGTCGAAAAGCTGGAGAGAGAGCTTCAGATGGCGTCTGAAAGCTGCATGGTGTTTTATAGCAATGAGATGTACAGGAAAGGGTTCTACGGCACCTGGACCGAGGTCGGCGCTCACCATTGGAGCGAGGACCTGGGTGCATTGTTTTGCATGTGTGATAACTGGTGCTACAACTATGCTCTTAGGGAACCCACTGAGGGATATGATAGCATCCTGTCCAAAGAGCAGAAGAAACAATTGATTCGGAGCATGAACGGATGGGTGGTTCAGGAAAGTTTTGACAGCATCGTGTCGCGCGTTCCTTACGCTACGCGCCGGACGTTGGCAGTGTACTTCATGGAGATCATCATACTCAAGGATATCTGGCACCTATTCTGGGAGAATCCGTTTTGGTATCTAAGGCCGGATCCAAGCAATGAACCAGGCCTCGATCCAGTGACCCCGTTCAGCAAAGATATCGACCGCGTCTACCAAGAGTTTAGGAGAGGTGAGCTGCCCCCCCCCCCCCCCTCCCCAAGACCCACGGACCGTCCCCATGCTAACTGGACATGGTGTCGCAGCGGATCTGAAGCTGGCACAACACTGGCGGGCCCAGACAGTACGCCTTGCCAACACACGTGCCAAGGACCGTTACTTAGATAACACCTTCCACGCCCAGAACCTGGCCTTTCGGACCGCCAAAGCCAAGGAGTTCGCCCAGGTCAGATATGCCGACGAGATCTTCCAATGCTTGCTCGAGGAGCCTGGTCCGATGACAGAGAAGAGTCTCATCAATTTGTATCAGCGGAATGCTGAGCTCGCGGTGAAAATCGCCGCAGCACAACCGGCCATGGACTGGCGTCTTCTGAAAGACATCCCCCCAACATTCGAACGTACCTCAATTGAGATTGAACCCGTCAGCAGCCATCGTCTCTCCCAGACTGAGAGGAGACTTAACGGGCAACGAGTGCTCGCTGTTGTTACTCCCGTTTTCCGGAAAACTGGCACATGGGCGGATTTTGGCAAAGATAGGGTCCTGTGCAAGGGCAGAGTGATTGTGGAGGACCACGACAAGCGTCCCCTCATTAATTATTGGAATCCGGGGGAGGCCAAGGCAAAAAGGAAGAAGGCCAGGGAGGAGAAGAAGGCCAGGGATGAGAAGAAGGCCAGGGATGAGAAGAAGGCCAGGGAGGAGAAGGAGAAGGCAGAGGCTGACGGGGTCAAGAGTGCTGATGGAAAGGAAAGCTCCCCGAAAGGCAAAACGAGCAAGGGAGCCAAGACGAGAACTTGATCGAGGGTTCTCTTTTCCCGGCGTCGCCGTAGAGATGGTGTATCCCCAGTTTTACAATCCAGCTGTTTTCGTCTGTCCCTCTTGATCCATTCGCTCTCCGTATGAGGCTGCGTTCAAAGTGGGGTCGCGCCCCATGGTATAAAACCCAACCAGCGCTTCCGCCAGCCGCCATTTGAACAGTCCACCAGCAAGTTACCCCCGTTGGAAACAGTCATGCCCACCCTCGCATCCCGAACCAAAGGCGCCATCTGGGGGGTCTGCGTCGCCGATGCCCTGGGCGGACCCGTCCAGTTCAAAAAACCAGGCACTTTCCCCGCCATCACGGGTCTTGGCCACGTCAGCCCGTTTGACGAACCGGCTGGGTAATATCTCTCCCCTCCCTTCTCCCCCGATCGCCCCAAAGAATCCCGTCTAAGACCGAGCGGACTCCGGTAGATCCTACTCGGATGACGGATCCATGACCCTGGCCCTGGCGCAATCCTTCATCGACGCCCACGGCCACTACGACCACCGCGCCTCCATCCAGAACTACCTTGACTGGCTGAGCCGCGGTGCCTTCTCGACGACCGACTATGCCTGGGACGTCGGGGTCTCGACCCGTCTCGCCCTCTCCGTCTGGGACGCGTCGTCGTCGCTGCGGACCGACGACGCCCAGCGCGCCGTCGACGCCAAGCTCGATCGCGACAGCCGCTGCGGTAATGGCAGTCTCATGCGCATGGCACCCGTCGGGGTCATGCTGTGGCGGGATGCGTCCACGGCGAGACGCGTCGCGCGCGAGCAAGGCGCGGTGACGCATCCTGCCCGGGCATGTGTCGAGGCTTGCGAGCTTTATACCGAAGTGGTGGTTGCCGTTATGCGAGGTGTGTCTTCCTATCTAGTTTTGTTGCTGTCGATCAGGAGGTGTAGTTCAGCTGATGCTAACCTCCCCAGGTGAAACCAAAGAGCGACTAGCCCGCATCGTCGCCACCTTCCCCCTCACCCATCCCGCGCTGACAGAGCGCATGGCCCCGTACACCCGACTGGAGGACTGGCGGGATCGGTCGGCGCAGACGCTCCGCAGTACCGGGTGGGTGGTGGATACGCTGGAGCTCGCGCTGTGGGCGTTCTTCGCGTGCGATGACTGGGCGGCGGGCGCCTTGGCGGTCGTGAACCTGGGGGGCGATTCTGATACGGCGGGCGCGGTCTATGGCGGGTTGGCGGGCGCGTTTTACGGCATGGAGGCTGTTCCGCGCGAGTGGGTGGAGGGCATGCGGAAGGGGTGGTTGATTGGGATGATTGCGGGGGAGATGGCTGGGATGGTGGGTTCTCGTCCACAGGATTGAGGAGACGGGCCTCGCTTGATGCGTTATACCGGCCAGAAGTGTTACAATATCTTGTAGTCGAGTGGTGATTTTCTCTATTGCAACATGTTCACCGGCTTATATCCACCCGTCACGGTAGATGCGTCGACCATAACAACACCCGCTATACTCCGTACAGCCTACAACTCCACCCCCCTCACTCTACTCTTCCACTCCCCAACCACACCCCCACAAAGCGCACCACCTCCTGCTGCACCTTGCGCACCCCCTCAGGGATGTCACCCTTCCCGCTCAGCCCGTTCTGATCCCAGTGGTGGACGCCGCCGCGCATCCCATCCCACACATCCGTCTCCGGCACATCGATCATCAGGAACGGTTCACTATCGGTGGACTTCCTCTTGCGCGCCCCGTCCGCATGTGGCGTCGCCGCGCGCCACGGGTCCGCCAAGCCGTCGATGATGGCCACCCGCGGGTACGAAAAGTCGAACCCTCCGTGCTGGTTGATGCGCGTCACGTTGGGCCGCTCGTGGATACCGTAGTCCTCGCTGCAGAAGCGGGATAGCGCCGGGACGTCCAGCACGCGCGACGTCAGCGGCCGGATCTCCGCCGGTACTCCGCTCCCCGTGACGAAGTACCCCCACTCCGTGCACACCTGGTAGTTCCAGCTCGTGTAGACGGACTTGGGCAGGGAGCCGCCTTGGGCCAATAGCTTGGTCTGTCCGTCCACTGGGGTGTCGGGGCCCAGCGCAGAGAAGGCCGATTGGCTGACGTATCCCGCGAAGTTGAGCAGGTTTGTGACCAGCGTCGCGTTCTTGGGGTCATACCCCGCGATGGCGACCAGCTCCGCCATGCTCTGTTTGACGGGCTCGGTATCGGGGAAGAGCAGCTTGGTGCTGGTGATGTTGCCGCAGTATTGGGCGAACATGGGACTGCCGATCTCCTGGTCCCAGTTGCGGGACTGGAACGACCCCAGCGGGGAGGATAGCAGGTTGGCGAAGAAGTCGTTGGTCAGGTCCGGCGACGCGCCGAAGGCAGTCTTGAGCTGTTTGTTGAGGGTCTTGTTTTGCGCGTGGTCGATCATGATGCGATCTGCCACGTCCGTCGCCGTCTGCGTGACATCGATGCACGCGGCCGGTCCGAAATTCCGCACCCCCTCGAAGTACGCCCAGTAGTCCTCAATGGCTTGCGTCACGCCCGAGGACGACACCGCTCCCCAGTACGTATCGGGGTAGAGCTTGCGCAGGAACGCGACGAAGGCGCCCGCGTAGGACCCGCCATACGCGATCCAGGGCGTCGCGGAGGGGCGCAGATTGTGTCCCTTCACTCCGGGAAACTGGACATGCTGCGCAAAGTACGCATAGTCAGCGACGGCCTGCTCGGTAGTCAGGAACCGGATGTTTTCGGTCGTGAGTTCCTCGAACGGATAGCTGCTGCCATAGTACCGGTGCTCGAGGATGACCCCGATCCCGTGGTATTTCTGGGCGAGGTCACGGATGATCCCGTGGGAGAGGAAGGGGAACCGGTCTTCCCCGTCAGTTTCGCCGGCGGCGATCACGAAGACGGGACCACCGGGCTGGTAGAATTGGTCGTCGAACCAATAGCGGAGATTAAATGTGCCTTTCTCGTGGGGTTCGTAACGCGATTCATTCGTGAAGTGGTCAATGGGGACGCGCAGGAAGTGTTCGGGATACTCTGCGGACTGCACTGCAGCCGTCTGTTGCTGCTCCAGCAGCTGTTGCCATGCGGGATAGGACCGCGCGAGGGGGTTTCTCCATTGTGCCAGAGCCAGGGGCAGCAGGCATAGCAGCCACGTAAGGGGGGTCATGGTGGAGGTTGAAGAACGCGAGCAGCGGTGGGATGATCGGCGGTTCTCTCCATCCAGCCCTCCTTATATAGTCTCACAGACCCCGCAGATAACGACATGGGTGGATCTTGGCCGTCGGGTTTCAGGTAGATGTCCGCTGCAACCTCAATTCATTGGCGCCACGGAGATTGGCTATTGGATCAGCAGGGGTCCTGTCTCTATAGTAAGTGACCCAGTCTATATCACGGACCGGGCCGGTGATATTCACAGACATCGACTTCATGTTGTCTATCAGCACTGGGCTTTATATGTATCCAGTCCCACAAAAAGAAGAAAGAAGAAAGAAGAAAGAAGAAAGAAAGTACAAAGATGCATCACTTCCACCATGAGGTTTGAGAGCTGACGGTCAGCCGACCACCCCACACCATTGCTGCCTCACTCCTCTTTGTTTTTTTCTCTTCTCTCCATCAATCACGAAAGAAGATAGCTTATGGCACCGCAGCTCCCACCGGAGATTCTCTACCAAATCCTGGGATGTCTTTTCGACGATCTCCTCTCACTGCGATCTGCCGTGCGGTTAAGCAAGATCTGGGCTGAACATGCCATCAGCATGCTCTGGGAGAAACCCCTGGTGTCTGGCGGCCGTCACTACGGATCGCAGACAGATACGCGCGGCATATCCGCGAATTGGACTTCCGAGACAAACAAGGGTGGTCAGCAACACGCCCACTTTCACGTCTTGGTCTTTCCCCGGTTGAGGCGCGTCATCATTGACCTGTTCTGACTGCGCGAGGGCCAGAAGTTGTGCGTGGGTCAGTACATTCAGCCGGCGCTGGAGGATTTTACATTCTATGGCGCCCAACCCGAGGAGGACCTTATCTTGACCCGTCTAGGTACTGTAACTCGACAGGTCGCTGACTTATGACGATATCACCACCACCGTGGAGGGCGTCGTCCCTTTCCTGACATCGTGAAGCTCGAATTGACGGTAGATTCGAAAGCCGTGAAATCCTTGGCGGGGGCGATCGGGTTCATTCGGAGCCTGACCCTCTTGATCTGTGATACCGACCACAGCGTTTTGCCACTGCTCGGGTCGCTCGTCCACCTCCGGGAGCTGGAACTTAGGTATGACGAGGAACTGAACGTGCTACGGGAAGACTTGCTCGCGCCGCAGGGGTTGAGGCACCTTGAGTTGTTCAAGATTGACTCGCGGGTAGATCTCTGGTCCCCCACGCTGACGGACCAAGACGTCACCAAGCTGTGGGCCAGCTGGGTATACTTCCGAAACCGAACGCCGCTGGACCAAAAAGTAGTCACCATGTTCCAAATAAGGACTGACCAGAAGTACAATGCATGAGGCCGGATAAGTCGATTGATCTGGTCGGCATTTCGAAGCAGCTGTTTTCACTTCGGATATCTGCCAATATACCAATATCTGCCGCCATTTTGGGGAGAACACCTTTATATCCTGCTGCCACAAGCCAGTCCCTTGCGGTGTCATACTCAACGCATTCGGTACGTCTCTACTGACCCTTATATATATCTTCGCTTACCCTCTCACGTGACAAGTGGCATGATGATGATGATCAACGGCGTATAGCATAGCGAGATAATCTGACCTGAGCGCCTGATGTCATGCCAACAAACCGTATTTGCCAGTTAGGATCTTGCATTTTACTTAAACCAATGCTTGTTATTATATGTTGTTATCAAGTAAGGATCTCCGGCATGATATAGCCTAGCTTTCTTCTAGTAGTGTTCGTTTCCAAACAGCGCTCCGATTTCCAGAATGGACACATAGACTCAATGCAGATTCGTGGCAGACAATTCGATCCTGGTGGTGGTATACCTAGACAATCCGCCAACATGACCCGTCACCTAACAAAGTCACCGAATTAGTGAATAAAACTTCTTCCCTCCCATCTCTTCTCTCACAAATCTCATATCCGGTCGAGTTAATTGGCTTATATCCGCAGACCACAGGATACATGACAAGAGAAACCATCATAAGGGACTGTCGTCTCCGGCACTGTCCACTGAAGTATTCTCACAACTGTCATCACTTCCTCTCCACGTCAGTGTCGGTGTTGAGAAAGCCCAGACTGGTGGAGTTGGTAGCCAGAATCCTACAGAGAAACCTGGTTGAGACGCGAGACTATGATAGACCTGGTAGGGTATTGATCTATCTAGGATAATCGGATAAAGATGCTTGAACGTTGGCCTAGTAATGTCGACCTATATTGTTTGGGCGAACTAATCTGGGGTCGGTTCATCGATTGCCGATGTCGTTATTATTAGTCTCCTCTTCGCGGTGAGGGAATTTCGAACAACACCCTACAAGGTCTGATGCTGGCTCAGTTCGACGATATCCGAGACATTTCCTGAGACATGAGACGCCATTCGTCTCAAGCAGCTTGTACGAGGGGTTTGTCATTACCACTACCACTTTGTTTGTCCCTCGCGAGGGACGCTTATACAACGTCCAAGCGGTTATACCTCACACCAGGCCACATGGTATGCGAATGGCTACGTAATTGCTCTACATATGTGACTTTCAGCCGGGCGTAACATAGGTCGCGAGATATACGAATGACAAGATTCAGTACTAAGAAAGACTTGCAAGAAATACTTCGCTCCATACTGAGACAGAAGAAATCAACTATCGCCAGTCGTTGGTAAACTGTAGCATCTCCTGGCTACCCATCAATAAGAACGACTCATATCGCACCCCCTTCTCCTTAATGCCCTGCGACACGATGTCCCCGCCGAGCTCCGGGGAGGCGTCCATCCATCCCTGCACCAGCGCCCGCCAGTAGCACGCCTCCGCCGCCGGGGTCAAATACCGGTCCCTGAACGTGCTGGCGCTGTTCCGGGCGATTCGCTCGGCAAACTCGGGGTCGTCCAGCAAGGTCCGCATCTTGGCCGGGAGATCGGCAAAGTCGCGTTGCACCTCGACAAAGTTCTGGTCCGGGCCCGAGCTCACGAGGAGGTAGTGATGATGTTGGATGAACTGCAGCTGGTGGGCGATGACCACTGACTCGCAGGCTTGACGGTATTTGAAAGACGCCGAGTAGGATCGCCCTATCGCAGTGAGTGCCATAACCGGCCAACGGAGCGAAGCACATACCTTCCACATGCGCAATGAACTGATATCGGCAATGGTCCTCCATGGACATGAAGTGGTCCTTGGTCCGCCAATCGAGCTCCTTGACCGCGGACCAGGCCTGTCCCCGCGCGGCCTCCAGCAGCGCGCGGCGCATCTTGGGCGCAAAGCTCAACTTGCCCCGCCAGACGAGCTTCGCCTCCTTGTCACCCCACGACATCCCATTCTCTTTCCGCCGGATGGACTCCACCACGCGACTATACGGACCGATCGGGCTGTCCACATTGCCGCTGTCCCACGCCCAGTACCCAAAGTCCGGCATGAGCCAGACGGCCTCCTCGGCGGGCCGGCGCGCCAGGATCCACAGCGGATGATCGGGTCCGGCGACGTCGTCGAGCCGGTCCTCAATCGAGAACACAAACTCCGTCGCCCCCGTGGGCTGTTGCTCAGGGTTGGACACCAGCGCACGGTGCAGCGCACTCAGCACCGCGACGATCTTCCGCCGGTGGTCCTCGCCTTTGGCCCGCGTGGCCACCACATATAGCTGCCCGTCCACAATGGCGGCCCTCGCCATCCCATCCACCAGCTCGATCTGGTCGATCGTCTCCCGGGGCACGCCGCCCCGACTCGTCCAGTACTCCTTCGCGCGCCTCACATCTTCAAATAGCCCGGGAAAGAACCGCTGGCACTGGGCTGCGTTTAGGGTGCGATTCTGCGCGTCGCGCGCTACATCGTACGGGCGCGTCTCTGAGCCCGCCACGGCCACGTCGCTGGGACAGTGTAGGCACTCGGCACAGTGGAAGATCGTGGCCGACTTGCAGGCGCAGTGGCCCGCGGGGATCAACTGGTTCACGATCGCCGGCACGTTATCCCCGTCGGAGTTCATCCCGAACCAGAGGACCCATGTGCCGATGCCGAGCAGCGCGCCCGCCGTCAACCACACGCAGAGAACCAGCCGTCGACGCGATCCCATCATATTGTGTCCGTCTCATCAGCAGTAGAGTGATGAGATAGTCGGAGTCTGTCAGCCTGCTCTCCAGGCACTAACCGACCAGGTCATCCTTTCGGTGCTTGCCGCCACTGGGCTAGCCTTGTGTTGGGATGGTCGCAGTTGTATAGCTCACCCATTCTGTTCTAGGTAGGACTGGCGAGGATCGCATCTAGGCAAGGAAGGGATCGCCTATTTCTGCCGGGAGACGACGCTACGAGTGGCGATGCAACCGTGCTTGGATCTTACCGTCTCATGTAGTAGACTGAGCCTTCCTGGTTATTTTACCGAATGGCCTTGGGGGCCATCCGTTGGTATTAGTCAAACGCCACTGCATCGTTACCACCACTGGAAACTGTACAGTCCACTCGTCTTGTCATCCTATCGGCTGCGCACAGCCCTGATAGCTTCTCGCCCGATTTTCCCATCTTAGACTACTTTGGCACTAGTACTCCACTAGCATCAAGTACTGACTCTGAGTGGTATTAGGCATTACACCAATTAGAACGCCTAGTTCGTAGTAGGATCATTTGACCACGAGGCATCATAGCCTTGTGCCAGAACTGCTATGTTTTACAGATAATAATGAAGTCGTCATGAGGATAAGCTCCCAAATGCCATCTGCATCGTATCCGCACACTGTCAGCAACGCAAGGGGTATGCACATGCAGTGGGGATTTCGTCAGTCGGGTATATATACCATTTTAAAGTTCTTGTATCATGCAGATTAGAGTTATATAAATTTGGACTGAAATAATAAGAATAAAAATATGACAACGTACGCGAGGTATATACAGCACCCGTTTTAATATACGAAAAGAATAATGGGTATCAAACCCATGTGATGGGAGCGTACCAAGCAACCCTGCCAATCAATATTAATCCGTCAAGGATGGGATTATCTGATATAGATCGAGCCACACCTTCCTATCCTTCATACATTTACTGATGAACATATGCCAGTAAAATAGATTACAAACACATAGACCTCACGATAGCTATACCATATCGACGCCAGACTCCCTTGATACTCCGAATAAGCCATACTTCCAACTTGGAAGTAACAACACATCACTACACTCTCAGCCAACCAATCTCAAAGACTGCCCAAAACCTCCATCAGCCTCCCCTGCAGCTCGCCCCTCCGCAAACTCTCATAAATAACAGACACCCACGATCCAACCGTCCTTTTTGCCCGTCCATCCAACTCAGTACTATCAGCCGTCGGATGCTCCACAAACCCCTGATGAAACGGCACGCCCAGATCAATCCGCACAGCGCGGTACAAGGCGCGCGCGCCCACTCCCAGGAGAGACTCCGTGTGTGGGGCTCTCAGGAAGTCACCTTTGACTGTGTTGAATGTCTCGTGGAGTGTGGTCGCTACCCGCCCCTGCCACGCGTTCACGTCCGCTACTCGCAGCGTTGAGGTGCACGCCCCGGCTGTGCATAAGACAGGCACGGCTGCCTGGGCTGTCTGCGCGCACCGCTCGGATAGGTCGCACCGCGTTGTGTTCGCCCACGCACTGGCCAGAGTCGCGCAGATGGCGGCGGAGACAGACGACGCTTCTTCATCGGTGGTCGCGGTGCAGTCGATGATGGTCTCCCGCGTGACGGCCGCGACCTTTTCCGTCACTATCGCTAAAAATTGCTGGTGCAGCGCGCGCAGGTCCAGCGCCTGGCATATGATATATAAATGGGCAGCGCAGAGCAGTGATGCCAGCTCGACGGCATGCATGGTATACCGCGCAGACACCAGCGCCAGGGAGTTGATGGCTTGGTTGCGCATCTCGGCCGTCTGGGTGTGTGCGCTCACCGGGTGTGACACATACGCCAGCTCCGCCATGTAAGCAGCCATGGAGATGTCGACGCCCTTCATGGTGAAGCTCAGACACGGGTCGTCAGCGGCGAGGTTGGTCGGGAGCCCGTTGTTGTAGTTCGGGTCGACGAGCTCCGTTGCCTGCGCAAATACCAGCCTGCCTAGCATTTGCAAGGCCGTCCGCGTCTTTTCCATCGCAGATGTGATTGATGCGGCTTGGAAGTTGGCGCCAGAGTAGATGTCCCCGTTGATCGTGTCGATGAGAGGGTTGTCGCTCGATGAGTTCAGCTCCGTGCTGACCTGCCGGTGGGCCAGCATCAGGTCCTCCAGCTGGGGCCCGACCCATTGGGGTACGCTGCGCCATGCGTAGCGATCCTGGATAAGGCCGGTGCGGGTGCGGTCCGGTCGGTTGTTGATACCCACGGCCAGCTGGCTGCCCTGCAACAGGGCGAGCACATTGGCGGCGCATTCGATCTGACCGTCGTGGGGCCGCGTAGCCGAGACGAAGGGATGGAAGGGTTCGGCAGTCCCCGTGAGAGCCTCGAGTCCCATGGCTGACAGTGCCTGGACTAGAAGGGCAAGCTGGTGCGTCTCGTGGAGGGCGAGCGAGGCCACGGCGGCCGAGACGGCGGTTCCGTTGATCAGACCCAAGCCCTCTTTGGGGCCCATCGTGCGGGGCTCAATGCCCGCCGCCGCAAGGGCATCTTTCGCCGTCATAATGCGCGGCCCTCCTGGGCCCTCGACCTGAACGTAGATATCCGGGCTACCTTCGACCGTACCGGCCATGTAGGAAAGGGGTATCAGATCACCGGAGGCGGACACCGAGCCACGCAGCGGAACAATGGGGGTGATTCGATGCCGAAGCAGCTGAAGAAGACCGTCTAGCACGTGAACAGTCACGGCCGAGTGTCCACGGGCATTGCTGTTGACCCGCGTAACGATGGAACCACGCACCCAGGCAGCGGGCATTGAGTGGGGTCCAGGGGAGAGGTCATCCGTGCGTTCGGGCTCCTTGTCCGCGGCGACCAAAACTCCCGCCTGTGTCAATTGCAGTAGAGCAGCCTGTAGGGACGTCGCTTGATCTGTCCGCGAGTCTGCGCTGCCACCGAAGCCCGTATTGACGCCTACTATCCGTTAGACTCCAATGCAGCATAGAGATCGTAAGGAATACCGTAAACGCAATATCCGAGATCCAGATGGTCCATCAGCACATTGACACTTTCGGTGATACGTTGGACCACCCTCGGATCATCAGACAGCCGGGGAATGCAGCCATAGCTAGCAGGTCAGAATGGGAAGGCATAGACGGAATAATCAGGAAACTTACTAGGCAGTGGCCACGACGGCGGCAATATCCAAGCTGTTGCCGTCCAACTGGATATCCCTGTTCTTCTTGATTTCCTGCAGACGGTCCCATATTTGCAGTGCCGTCGCGAGGTGAGGTGGGGCAGTAGTAGTAGGCATTCTGCAGTGCAGAATAGAGTGGTCCAAGATACGGTCCAGGTTGTTGACAAAGGGTTCCACGACACTGGTATGCCAGAACCAGTGACGACAGAAGACACCCGCTGCGATGGATGAAGTTGTCCAAAGGTAGCCGCAACTGACACTATTCCAATTAGAGTCTAGAGTTAGTTTAGGCAAATAGGTTCGTCACTCTCGGTGAGACCAGGCCCGTACCATTACATTAGTAATGGGGCGTCAGAATGATCCCTGGAAGAATGCAGGGGATTCCGGGACAATATGATCGCGAACAACATCAGCAGCAGATGAAGCATCTAATTGGCCTATAGCTAAAGGATAATGAGTCCACCTATTTCCATTGGATTTCTGGACTGGCTTTATCCGATCTGATCGATCGATCGATCTCATTGGAATGACCGTCGAATCCGCATTCGGATGCAACTATCGTGAAGAACGGGTTGTGGATCAGCTGAGACTTCTTGGACAATCTGGTGTCTTATAAATCTGGACTATAAGCTGGTAGATCTTCTTCGGTGTCTGTCATATGCTGGTCGTAGAACAAATTGCATGTAAACAGTCGGGGAGGATGGTCGTCAATCCACGCGGGCAAGGGCTGCACACGAATATGTCATCGTTTATGGATGTAGCTGCCCGGAGTTCATGCTTCCATTTTTGTTCTCTTCCGTTCTGCAGATTCTTCCCTTTCTTCTCCATCCATCGACTTGTTGGTTTCTTGGCCGCTGACGATATTATCCGAGGCCATCAAGCCCAAACCTTCATATACGCGTCCTGGGTAGGGATCAAAAAACAACACCACTCCTGTAATTCTGACATCCATATTTTTTCCCGCATGTGGCAAAAATTCTGATTCCATAACATCGCTGGGTTTGACTTGCAGTGGAGCATACAGTGGACACGCTCTGGACGTAAATTTCTTGTGGCAGGCGACACCGTCCGTTGGCGATATAGCACATTGACCGACGCCCTCAGGATCTTATTCCGCTTGCGATTCTGTTGTGGGTTGTCTCATACTACCGTGCGTGGAACTGTGAGACTGTGATATCTCTGTTTTTTGTCCGGCGAAACTTGATGATGACTATCGATCCAAGCACCAAAGCATTCCCATTCCCAGATATCAACATCCCTGACATCGATCTCTGGAGCTTTCTTTTTGAGCAATGTGTCGTGCTTGAAGTCCGGAGTGGTTGGGACGGAACTACCGCGGGCGTATGTGGTGGTGACTGCGGGATGTGATGCTAATTCGTCGACGGCAGACGAGATCGCTCGGTTTGTACAGGATCAAGTGACGGATTATAAATGATTGCGTGTATGCTTCGTGGGAGCTATTCCTCGGGATGCTAGTGGAAAGATCCTGCGTCGAGAGGTGCAGAATCTGGATGGTATGGTGGAGGTGTAGGGATGAATATTGCTTTCTACTTTAGACGCAAAGAAAAGTCCGTCGCCTGATCTTCAAACAGTGTCTGGGTATTTGTCTGTTCCCCCAGATGAACCTCAACCCCACATCTCTACTTCATATGCCAATTTCATCGATTATTGAAAACCCTACTGGCTCTTCTGATTTCCTCATATGCAGTGCCTGGATTGATATAGAGGAATATCGGTTGACACACGCCAAGTACGCAGAGTTGCGTATAGGAATGGATGACTCGGTCGGTGCACATGCTGAAAGTCTCAATGGGTCACGGTATGATGCTCTATATAAATATTGCAAACGATACCAGCAAACAGCCAGCCAAGCCACTGTCTCGGGGAACACGACAGCTCCTGGTATCATACCGGATTCGCTCAATATCAGCCACGCTAGAGAACAACCTGAGCAAGGATCAGTAGTCGGGTGCGACAGAACGCCTCGCGGCCAGGGATCCAGACTTGAAACATGCAGTATGAACTGCGGGATTCTGTGAGAGCTAGATGCGAAATCACGCCAATGGAGGTACTCAACCGAGCTTGGTGGGTTTTATTGAAGCTTTCAAACATGATCAATGTCAATCATAGCCGGTATATGGCGATCGGATACTAACACGTATACTGGTTAGCTAACTGCTAACCCAAGTTTAGGGTCCGCTAGTTTATAGAGCTCTCGACGCCTCATACTCCATCAATGGTAGAGTCTAGACTGCTATCGCGTGGGCTGAAGTGACGGGCATTCTAATATCTAGCGCAAGCTAAAGTCCGGTCTTACTCGCAATGAGACCATGTCCTACCAATGATTATTCATTCGCTCAGACTAATTTTCACCAGTTCGTTTTGAGACCTCTGGTTGTGGACCGCGATAGAGAAGAACGTGCGGGAATATATCTTCAGTACTGATGGTGTGATATCAGGGTAGACCATGTCCGTGCATGTGCCATTAAAATAAACCGACGCCGCATGAATCACTAGTCATTCCCAAGGGTCAAACAATGCATCGCTCTAACATTTCCATGTAGATTCTGCAGGATTTTTTAACTCCTCACAGGCCTGTAAACCTGCAAGCTTTCATCCCCCGGGTCCAATTATTGCAACACCCAGTGAACGCCCCGCAACCCCGCACGGACAGCTGATTCCACCTCGCCCAGTTTGTCCATCGTTGCCCATCAAGGTGGACAGACTCGTCAAGAAACCTGAAAGACGGGTCAGACTGTGGTTCGGCGTCGATCATCCCATCCAAATCCGTAGCCGAGGTAGGCCATGCTCTGCGGGGTTGGACGACCCAATCAACCGCCCGTCATAAACAGGGGGTTCCCGTAGGATTCTACCATTTCTGCTTGTCTATCCATCTATCTATCAGTCGGACTGTAATTCACCCCGAGAATTGATAACCATGGCCAACTCCGGCGGATACAAACCGGCCGACCATGTCGGGAATACCGACTTTACGCGCGCGACGGTCGTGATCATCGGGGCGGGCATATCGGGTATCTCCCTCTTTACATCGCGTACGAAACAAAGAGGCAGTGCTGACGAGAATAGGTCTGTGCATGGCGATTGACCTCCTCCGTCGGACGCCCTGTCGCAAATTCGTCATCCTCGAGCAGGGCAGCCAAGTAGGCGGGACATGGAACGATAACAAGTATCCCGGGTGTGCATGCGACAGTACATCTCCCCCACATCCCTGACACTATTCATCCACGTAATTATTGATATTCATATTATAGTATGGAGCGCCCTGTACTCCCTCTCATTCGAGCAAAAAGCCGACTGGTCGCGCGAATATCCCGGCCAGGAGGAACTCCTCGACTATCTCATCCACGTGGCGCAGAAGTACCGTCTGTACCGGTACATCCGGTTCAACTCGGCCGTGGACGCCGCGCGCTGGGATGAGGACTCTCACACATGGCGCGTGCAGGTCTCCGTCGGCGGCGCCAAAGACGGCCAGTTCGTGTCATCCTACGAGCTCACGTCTGACTTCCTCGTGTCCGCCGTCGGGCAGCTCAACCTGCCGCAGTGGCCCTCCCTCCCGGGCCTGGACGACTTCACCGGGAAAGTAATGCACTCGGCGCGCTGGGACTGGACCTACGACTGGGCCGACAAACGCGTCGCCATCATCGGCAACGGGGCGTCGGCGCTGCAGATCGCGCCCGAGATCGCCCCCGCCGCCGCCCACCTGACCGTCTACCAGCGCACGCCCAACTGGGTGATCCCGCGGATGGACCGGCGCGTGACGGGCGCGGAGCAGACGCTGCTGGGCGCGCTGCCGCCCGCGCGCTGGCTCAAACGCGCGGTCATGATGCAGATGCGCGAGGTGTCGCACGGACTCGTGACGGATCCAAAGTCGTCGTCCGTGACCTACCTGCGGGACTGGGCGCTGGGGAGTATGAAGCAGGCGCTGCCTGGGCGGCCGGATCTGTGGGCGGCGCTGACACCGGACTATCAGCTGGGGTGTAAGCGGATTCTCGTGTCGGATAACTACTATCAGACGCTGGGGCGGGAGAATGTGACGCTGGAGACGCGCGAGGTGGCGCGCGTGACGGAGAGTGGCATTGAGACGGTGGACGGGGCGGTGCGGGATGTTGATTTAATCGTCTGTGCGACAGGCTTCCGCACTGTTGAGTTCTTGCACCCGGTGCAGGTGACTGGACGGGAAGGTCGTCCGCTGGACTCGGTCTGGGCAGGGGGAGCCTCGGCATACTACGGGGTGACGGTGGAGGAGATGCCGAACTTCGGCATGTTGTACGGGCCGAACACTAACCTAGGTGTGTTCCCTCTTTATTCCCCCTCTCCTGATTGTTTGGTTTTTTTACTATGGACAATACTAATCAATAGGCCACAACTCCATCATCCTCATGATCGAGGCCCAGTCGCGGTATCTCAGCGCACTGATCGACCGGGTGGTGCGCGCAAGGGATCAGGGCCAGTCCCTGGTCCTGCAGCCCCGGACGGAGGTTGTGCGGTCGCTCAACCACCAGATCCAGACGCAGCTGCAAGAGACCAGTTTCGCCGATCCGACGTGCCGGTCGTGGTACAAGACAGCCGACGGGCGGATCACGAACAACTGGCCCGGGACGGCGGTGCAGTATCAGAAGGAGTTGGCGACGGTGCGATGGGCGGACTACGCGGTGTCAGGGACGGCGGCGGACACAGTGGCCGGAAGACGACCGACGCGGATTGGACGGGTGGTGGAGGAGTGGCCGGTGTCGTGGTGGACGATGGCGTTGGGGGCGGGCGCTGTGGGATGGTGGTCGTATACACGGTATTTCTCCCGGGCATGATCGTTATCTGCCACTCTAGACGATGGACGGGGCTAAGAAGGGGCCGGTCAACCATCTCTACATAGTACATACACTATCAGCACAGCCTTGGTTAGTGCTCCGTGATCGTCTGGGCGATCGGGTGGAACAGCCTGAGAGGTTCATGAAGTTCCTGCGTGGCACTGTACTCCATATTAACCAGGACCTGGACAACCCCTCTACTATACTCCATACCGGACAGAAATAGTGATGATATCAGTGACACGGCGCCACACCCGCATGTAACAAGAAAATATGGGGGGTGTTACATTGACTGTTCAGGGGAACCTCCCGATGGATTCCTGGAGGTTGAGAGTCTGAGTCAGATAGATAGCCAGAGGATAAGCTGAAAGGCCACGGTGACCCTTCAGGGGGCCGACCCAACCAGACCAGGTTAAGTGGGGGATGTGGGGCAGCCCTGTTGGGCAACTGGTCACGGGGGGGTTCATTCTGACTTTGTCCTTTCTTTTACGGGACTTTTACCTCATTTTGACCTTGTTCTTACTTAACTCTGACCTAACTCTCACTTCCTCCTACCAGTTGTAGCGAAAAAGTGAGGGCCAAGTGAGGGCCAAGTGAGGCCATTATCAATCCGATGGTCAATCCCTTAAGGATGACTGAGGAATCCTAGGCAGAACCAATCCTCAGCCCCCATGGCTTGGCGGTGGGGCCTCTCCGCCAATCAGGAGCCACCGGGACCTCTAGACCCATCCAGGAATAGACCAGGAAAAGAGGATCAATCAGGAAAGGTCAGAGAAAACTTGTAAGGAAAAAAAAAAGAATAAAAGAATAAAAAGAAAAAAAGAAAGGAAAAAAAAAAAAAAAAAAAGAACCATGTTTCAGCCTACCAACTCCGCCGGTTGAACCTCATCGCCTCATCACACCCACCTATCACCCATCATTTTTCTTTCCTCTCTCTTCTCTCCCTCCCTCTCTCTCTTCTCCTCTATTCTCTCTATTCTCTATTACGGTTGGGCTGTTTTCCCCTCCTAACCTGTTTTGCCTTAACGCTTCTCCTCCACTAAATTAATCCCTTCCCCCTTTTTTATCCTTCTCTCTTCTTTTTATTCTGCCATCTCTTTTTCATTCTCTGTCCTTTTCTACAACATTTTTATTCGATTCGATTGTTTGCCTTCCTTCATTCTTCCTCCTTTCCCTCTCCAGGCCATGTGGCGGACTTGACTGCCACTGTCCATTCCATCCTCTCCCCTCCCCTCCTTGGTCTCTCCTCCCCGCCCACCGCATTGAAGGATGAAGTTGATGCCTTTCCTTCAGAAGGTGCTGGCTCGCGCCAGCACCTTGGACTGGGACGGTGCCTGGGATGTCGGTCGGAGGGTCTTCTTCACCCTCGGCCTGCTCTCCTTGCTGCAGGCCAAGATCATGCATCTCTTCGCCCACATCACGTCTCTGCCCCTCCCGAAGATGGCCCTCTGGGGCATCACCTTTTTCTTCCAGGATGTCATCGTGATCCTGCTGATGCGCCTGGCCACCCGCCGCGCCCCCGCCGCTGGGTGGCCGCCCTGTGCGCCCTCGTCATCGTCCCCTTCTCCCTGGGCATGACGGCGATGGCCTCGGCCAACACCTCCTTCTTCGTCACGACCGGGGCCGAGATCCACTGGCGTCAGGTCGGGACCTTCCACGCTGACGCCGCCGCCATCGCCACGCTGCTGACCGGCTTGGCCGGCTTCCTCATCACCGCCGCGATCCTGGTGGCCGCCGCCTGGGTTCTCTCCCGCCCCGTCCACCGCTTCGTCGGGGGCATCCTGCACATCCTGGGGACCCCCTACCGCTCCATCGTCGGCCGCGTCCGGGACCGCCGCCAACGCTACCGCCCCGTGCAGGATCCCGTCCGCGACGAGGAGGAGATCCCCGTGGAGGACTACCGCGACGACAAGAGTGACGACGGCGAGGACGTGCCCCTGCAGGGTTCTGGCGAGGGGCCTAGCCGGCGCTATGCCGGGCGGGATGGCCGCAGCGGCCCCGCCGCCTCCGAGCCCGCTGCCTGGAAGCAGATTGTCACCTGGGGCGGACTGTTCCTGCTCACCGCCTTGCGCTTCCTGCGCCCGTCCGACACCGCCTTCGTCTTCCTGGCCGGCACCCTCCCCGTCACGCCCTTCCTCCACACCGAACGCCCCTCCCCCGTCGACACCGAGGGCCTGCCCGGCATCTACCCCTACCTCGAGGATGGCAACTCCCTCGCCGCCCCACCCGCCTGGTCCTGGCTGCCGGCCGGCCAGCCCGCCGGCTTCCGGGACTGGTGGGACCGCACCAACGGCACCCGCGACCACTACTCCCCCGCCGCCGACCCCTTGCACATTGCGAACCTGCAGCTGCCCGTGCTCGAGCCCCTGCGCGAGAGCCTGAAGAACGGCAGCGTCCGGATCAAGCACATCCTCTTCCTCAAGCTCGAGAGCACCCGCAACGACGTGTTCCCGCTGGTCAAGGATTCCTGGCTCGACAAGCACATCGGTCGGTCCTGGGGCGGCGAGAGTCCCGACGAGGTCAAGGACCGCTTGGGCAATCTCACCCGCACGGCCTCCTACCTGACCGGCGTCGACCCGGGCTACGGCCAGACCCCTGACCCCCGCGGCAGCAACTACGGCGGCATCAGCGCCAGCAATGCCTTCACCACGGGCACCTACACCTTGAAGAGCGTCGTGGGCAGTCTGTGCGGTGTCACCCCGCTCGTGGCCGACTTCAACCGCGAGTACGAGTACCACATCTACCAGCCGTGTCTGGCCCAGGTCTTCGGGGCCCTCGGCCAGCTGCCCGATGCCACCCGCAAGCCCGACGACTTCCGCACCTGGCCCTGGCACTCCACCTGGATGCAGTCCGTCACCGACAGCTACGACAACCAGGACAAGCTGACCCCGACCATGGGCTACCAGGATGTGCTCACCAAGGAGCGCATCAACGAACCGTCGGCCAAGCATTACCCGCCCAAGACCCGCGAGGTCAACTACTACGGGTTCGCCGACACTGAGCTCCATGAGTACGTGCGCGACGCCATCGACGATGCCGAGCGCAACCACGAGCGTCTCTTCCTCACCCATTTGACCGGTACCAGCCACCATCCGTGGGGTTTGCCTCGGGACGACATGTTCCAGGAGCTCATGAAGGGGTCCAACGACGACTTCAACCGCTATCTCAACACCATCGGCTTTGTTGATACCTGGTTGGCTGATGTTCTGGAAATTCTCCAGGAGAAGGGCGTGGCCGATGAGACCTTGGTCGTCATGGCCGGAGACCAGTACGTTTTCCCCTATGCTATTCTTGCTCAAAATTGTATGTGATTGAAACTAACTCTTGCAGCGGCCTCTCCCTCCCCAACGACGGCGGTGTCACCCCCTACGACAACCCTCATATTGGCAACTTCCACGTCCCCATCGTGCTGGCCCACCCCAAGCTCCCCCCCGTCCGCGTGGACGCTCCCGTCACCAGCGACCAGATCGTCCCCACCGTCCTCGACCTGCTGGTCGAGTCGGGCTCGCTCGGCCCCGAGGGCACCAAGGCCACGCGCGACCTGCGCGGCCAGTACGAGGGCCAGTCGATGATCCGGCCCCTCGTGCCCGAGAAGGAGCACGTCCAGGACTGGCAGTTCTCCGTCATGAACACGGGCGGGTCGCTTATCGCCGTGCGCTCCGCCGCCCACCCGGAATACCGGCTGGTCATCCCCCTCGTCGACGACCTCGAGTGGCGCTTCACCCACGTCGGGGAGGATCCCGCCGAGGAGCACCCCGTCAAGCACTTCGCCCTGGCCGACATGGCCGCCTCGCTGGAGCGGCGCTTCGGCAAGGAAACCGTCGACTGGTTGCGCGACGCCGCCCACGTCACCGAGTGGTGGGTCACCGAGAACTGGCGCCGCTACGGCTACTCCAAGGAGAACGACAAGCTGGCGGACGGGTATGATCCGAACTAGTAGATGCTCCGTGGTACGATCTAATTCGGATGGGTTGGTTGCATTGTACGAGATACGTGGTGTTTGGCGTTCGGGGTTGCATGTACTCGATGATTTATTGTATTCTGAGTACATAGTTGCTAATTGGTTATTGCCCCATTATCCCCATTTTTCTGTTCCCCATTATACTGTCTACTCGACCAGACCTTTTTCCCACCTGACCCATATTTTCTTTCGCCTTTTTGCCTTTTGCCTCTTGTTTTTGTCTGGTTTTTATTTTGGTTATTGGAATTGCCACCACAGACGGTAATACGTCTCGACGGAGGTGGGCGGGATGACGAATCAATCCATCCCCTGAGGGTGTTCCATGGGTCAGATTTAGTAATCTTCTAATATGAACTATCTTGACCTTGATTAAATTATGATGTGAATATAGCGTAGAATGTTGGTATGCCTTTGTCGGATTCATATGTATGTATATCTACGTGCAAATTAAGTGTATGGTAGAGATTGATTTGGGCGAGGTTTTTATATCCTTGAGATAGTCCGCAGCAGTGATATCTTTCTTCTACCGTACTCCAAACCATATACAATGGCTGTTCCTATTTACCCCGTACATAGGCCAATTCTTGGTTCTGGCTATACGATAGATCTTCATCAATGGCAGTTAACAAGGATGATATAGTAGGGCTATCTCATTCAGACAAGACATTCTAGAAACGACCTAGCTGTTAGTAGGTTTCACTCATAGTCTTCGCAATGTACTTCATACTAACAGTTCTGGATGGTTCATATCAGCCACTGCACCAAACAACAGACGTCATTTTGATCGGGCTTGATATGACTGATATTCTAACAATCTATTACTAGTGAGGTACTCTAAAGTCATGGCAAGATACTTAAAACTGCATCAATCGGATTGAAAGTACTATCTACCTATCATGTAGGTGATAGAATAAAAACATAGAACCATAACAACACTTGCAGAACATATCCCATCCTAACAACCAATCTTCCATCTTTCATCTCCATCTTCCATCTTCCTATCTGAATATCCAATCAACCCATAAATCAATCTGTCCCAATCCCAATACCCAACTAACCCATCAAATCATCCACAATAAGCCAATCAATCATAAATCAAGAAATCAATCCGTCAATCAGTCAACCCGTCAATACTCAAACTCATCAATCACATTCTCATACCCATCAACCACGTCCTCAACAACCCCGTCCATAACCTCCCTATCCTTCTCAGCCATTCTCTCTCCCAAGGCGTCGGCCAGACTCTCGGTTCTAGTCAGAAGACTTTTCAGGTGGAAGTAGATCACGCCGCGGAGATAGGCCCCCTCGAAATCTTGTTTCTACTTCGGTTAGTATGACTCCCAAACTTATTCCCCCATATTCCAAAAAGAAAAAGAAAAGAAGAAGAAAAAAGGAAAGAAACATACCTTGTTCCTGAACAGCTCAAAAGTCTTTGGCATGGCGTCGCCCATGCCCACGGTGATATCCTTGACCTGCTTGCTGTCCGCCTCGTGGAATGGGCCCTGGATTTATTCAGTGGCTGCAGTAGTGGCCTGCATGCCGTCGCCCCAGGCTTGGATTGCCGTGAGGAGGGGCATGGCGGCGTTGTGCTCGCCGGTCCATGACTGGAGCTCCTGATCGACCTTGCCTTCGAGGCTGCCGAGTTCGGTGAGCTTGTCGAGGACGGTGTTGATGTTTCTGGGGAGGGCGATAGCTGCGCCGAGGGTGATGAGGTTGAAGGTGAGGGTGAGGGTGAGATAGGTAAGGATGGTTTTGAAGAACATCTTGATGATCGTTGATGATTGTTGTTGGTAGTCGGTTCGTTTTGGATTGGTTGGAGGATGTAGATGTAGATGTAGAATGGAGAACGAGATTGCGAGAGAATGAATAATGGAGAAAGGAGGTCAAGATTAGGGTGGGAAGATGGGGGTATTTATACCCTGACTCTAGCTTCTGACATCTGTTAAAAGATAATTACACAGTCATAGTATCTGTAGAGGTTAAGAAGGATATAAGTGATAGCACTGAGTGAATCTTATGGCTTCACTACTTCAAGACAAGATGCTAGGTATTCCTCTGATACACTGATGATCAGAGTATAATGGAATCATATATTTATTCATCAACCCTATTGTGATAATGATATCAAACAGTATATTATTGATTATTAAGAGATGTGATTATATTCCATATAATACATGTTCAAGTATAGTTATACTGTGAAGGGGTGTAAGCCCTGGGTCCCTGGCCATTTTGATATCAATATAGTAGTCACTTGTCTACCAGTCAAACACCCCAAAGTCTAAAACTGTGGCTCTTCTAGGTACAACATTACAGAGATAATTAAGTAATACACCTCAGTTAAAATGTGATCCAGCTCTGTGGCAGACTGGCAGTCTTCTCCCCTGTCAGCCTTGCCCTAGAAGTCTACCAGTCAAGTCAAGCTCTGTCCTTTTTTTCTCCTTGATGATAGTAATTAATATAGGTTATAGTAGAGCAGCTTCGATTACTGTGTCCAGTACTGCGAACACAGCTCCCTATCTAAGTTGAGGAGAAAGTGAGTTGTGTCAACCATCTCAGTACCCAAGATATATATGTGTGTTCTAGTAACCTAGTCCATATCACACCCGGTTTAATACTCGGCCAGTTATCCTGTCACCTGGTCATGTGTATATATATATGATCATAATGTTACCCAGCTTACCCAGCTTGCCCAGCTTAATCCAGCTTGCCCAGCTGGCTCAGCTGCCTTAAGCTGTTATGGTTGACAGTCACCATCCACCTTTTCTATACATAGGAAACAATGTAAATCCGCCGACATGTCTGCCGATCCTGTTTATTCTACATATATCCCCTGTATAATTAGGGCAAATATTACATCTACTGATGGATATTGAATCATGAGAAATGTGAGTAGGCAACGTGTTATTTGACTGCCGGTGTTTTCCTATATCAACTATCACCTAATGCTTCATGTTTTTATGATATGACATTAATCCACAACCTTAATATCATCAATATCTTGATCATTTTCACTAACTCGCTCACAGAGTATGAGCCCGGAGCATCCACGACTACTGTGGTATTGTTTTCGAAACCACTCCCACTCATTTTACAATTCGTCTTGCTAAGAAGATGTTGTTTAAACACATCTACGAATTTCCAGAGTCCACACCATCAAAATCGCGTTTATCCGACCGCCAGACCATCCGGAACAGCTTCATATCTCTACCATGTTCGGATCAGATCTGTTGACATTATCTACCTCCATAAAGCGGAGATATCGCCTGCATGAACTGGAGATTGGGAGATTGCCCCTATAACAGGAATCCCATGAAGAGATAATCATGGCAAAGAATACAGAGATCGCACGCAAAAGACAGCGAGGCACACCTCAACGCCCAGAGAGCCAAAGAAGTCTATTGGCCAGATCGGTGTCCACGGACTGGCGGCTACCAGAGGTTGAAACGCCAGAGATTCCTCAAGAGTATTATGTTGACCTGACTGAGGGGGCGGTGATAGTCGAGACATAATCGGGCACTATGTCAGCTGACTTGCGGCGTTTTCCCACACATAATGTTGTTCTCGATTTTTCATGGTTTGCAACTATTCGCAACCTTTTCACCGCTACAACATCAGCACCATCGATACTCTGACAACTTCGTCCGCCCCCTTGGACATATTCAAGAAGCTTCATAGCTCTCTCTCGCTTTTCCACCAAACCATCATGGACATGTTAGTGCCCCCAAGAATCTAATTGGACAACCTGACCGTTCTCGAGACTTCCCAACACGTCTGCCATCCCCTGCACCTCCTCAGACGACGACAGCTCGACCACTACTCCGTCACCCCCCATTAAAAAGCCTCTCACGGCCCGCTGCAGCGACAACGCTCCAGTCCACCGTGCCATCGTCACCAAGCTAGAGGAATGGCATCACGTCCACCGCACCGGAAAACCGTTATTCCGCTACGGACGCGAGCCCAAGTTGCCCTCACGCGTCTTCGATCGCCTGGGCCGTGAGGTCCAGCTCCGCCGCATGAACATCGCCACAACCGTCTCGTACGACGTCCTCGTCCTCCACCCCATCGGTGGTCCCCCAATGATCGTCGTCTGCCATCCGACCAAGAACCAGTATGGCACTTTCCTACGCGAATGGCGCGGTGTCCGTGACGGCCTGGACCCGCAGTGTTGCGCCCTGCGTATTTTTATGCGCGGCTCCAACCGCGCTAACTTCCCCGACGACGCGTTCGACTGGATCGATACTCTCGACACGTCAAGCTCACCCGCCTTGAGGCGAGCCCCGCGCTCTCCCAGTTCAGTCATCTATCTCGACGCTGAAGTCCCCACGCCGTCGTCCCGTCGTTGGTCCCGTCAACTCCGGCCCACCGTCCCCAAGAATTATCAACTCCCCGGGGATGACGTGTCTGTTGCGGATGGCCCAACGATCTCTCCCTCCTCGAATCGACGTCCTCCCGCCTCGAACACAAAGCCTTCTCCCTCGAATCCTCGATCGCCCAGCCTGGTGTTTGAGATCCTCTTCCACTGCTACGGAGCGATGCGCACGCGGGCCTTCCCCTTGACCGAGTGCCGGTCCTCAGAGCAGCTATTCGGCAAAGTCCAGGACTTCTGCCATGTCTTCGATCCTGAGACCCGCGTCAATGTCCTCTCTTGCCGCATTCCCTCCCAGCCGGAGCGGCTGGTGTTTCGAGGTAGTGAAGGCGAGTTCGATCTGCTGGTCCGATCGGCTCGGGAGGGGAAGGCCGCGAATATTCAGATCCATCCTTGTTAACTAGTTGTTTGTATGGATTCTGATGTACCTATCATTGTTTTACATAGATGTACAGAGACTAATCCGCAAATCGGCTGGATCGCGGTGGGGTGGATGACAGGGTATTCACTAATTCTGATAATATAGCAAGGGACATATAGATTACCCACCATGATCATACACCTGATTTTAGGTACTATCTAATGTAGCAGAAGGGTGTGATTATCAACAACCACGTCATTGTTATCTTGTACTGTTGCTTTTGTTTCCAACCCGATCACACATGAGATTTTCAATCAAAGCCAGTAGCTGATCTCTTGCCATACGCCTGTTTGTGGAGTTGTGAGATAGCCTCAAGTCAATGACCGGCAAGGTACGGGATGACTTCCAAAGCCGGGATAGTGATTGAAAAATGTCAAGCTAGATAGCGTATCCACTACTGTCTGCAGTCGTGATGAAGAGCGACTAAAGACAAGCCACTACACCGACGGTCGGGTTTCTTGTTTCCAATCTGTCTTACTGTCTGCTTCCATCAATGCGTACCTGATGGCCATCGTTTAGGAGGCGAGCAGTGTGGATGATACATCTTTGTATTTCCCACGAACTCCTGGTTTATACCCTTAATATACGTCACATCGTTGACTCGTGTCTCCACACATTCGGCCCAATAGTAATTGGATAGGGCCGACGGGCAGCGCTAAAAAGAACATATCTAAAAGAACAATTGACATGTCAAGTCTATCGACGTTCGGCTATGTCGATCATGATGAACCCCCTCGTTTATGCTAGAACCTCTCAAAGAAACCCTTCCGTCTTCCTCCTGTTATGTCCCTATAACGAACCATGAATGTCATGGTGCCGCCACAAAAACCCATCCTAGTGTCATTTGCCATCTTAATGTCTACAGGAAATGAGTAAACTATATACCCCTGGAATAAACAGGCCGGAAACCCACCCGGCTCCTTCACACCCGGTAGATTAAAAACTGACAGGATTTGCATCCCTCCTCGAGCATCTGCGTGTGCCTAACTATTTGACGTGGTTTTGATTTGAATATGATTCGCATGTCTGAAGTGAATTTCTTTAGGTCAAGCACATAAGAAGCCATGTTTAGCTATCTAATGGATATGCTATATGTATGACAAGTACAGAGGTAGACAATTACTTAGATCTGATTAATCAAGAATAGTGGTGTAGAATAAGCCACAATATCAAAAATGCAAGTCAGTACATTCGATGGAAAAACTAGAATATAAAACCATTATCCACAATTAAGACAAATATCAATATCAACCACACCACGCCTCAACACATCAATAAAAAAATCACATCGTATATGTACAGACTCCCAACTACCCGACCCGCCGTCAGCGCTTTTACAAGTCGGTCGATCATCCAGAGATAGATCAGGGTATATATATATGAAAAGCAAGTCTCGCACATACGGGAGTAGTGAAAGACGAAGGGACAAAATACAGGTAGAGGAAAAAAGGTATCAGCTGCCCATCTCGTGGATCGCCGTACCAGCTCCATGGGGGTTCGTCGCCAGTTCCGACGGCCCAACTCGACCTGTCGGTGTCGGCTTGTCAGGTAGAGGTCCGGCTTCGCGCCGCCCCTCCGTCTGACTGTAGAAGTCAATCTCCTGCTTCCGCTTGGTTTGCTTCTTCCGTCGCAGGATCAAGAGTCCCAGGACGAGCAGGAGCGCTAGACCGCCCACGCCCACGCCAACCCCTACGCCAATCGCGCCGCCTGTGGAAATACCACCTGTCTCCGGTTTCTCGTCCCCCGCAACGTGGTCGTGGATGCCAGTGGGTTCGGCCGGGGTGTCCGTTTCAGTCGGCACGGCTGTGGTGGAGGTCGGCGCGGCGGCGGTGGACGAGGGTTCGGTGTCGGTCGAGGTCACGAACATCGTCAAGTCGTGCTTTTCCTGGGCGACAATGATGGGTTGCGCGTACATGGTTATTGGCCCCACGATCCGCGTCCGCTTGTTGTTTGCCTGTCGCACCTTGACGGTCGTTGTCTCGCCTTCGGGAAATATGCTCGTGCACCCCATCTGGGTGTTGGCAGGGTTGGTGGTATATTCGTAGTCTCTGGAAGCTGCACATCAGTACTGCAAGCTAGTCTTGGAAGCTATGGAAGAGCATACGAGGGGCAGCAGATTGCGGTGGTTACCGGCGGCTCGATGGCTACATCGGCGGAGGTGTAGCCGTGCGGACAGTACCCGGGGCTGTACATCTGCTGGGGGGGCGCTCGTCCACGGTTACCCCATCCCGTTGGCATGCAGTCATTGTTCGTATCATCTGAAGGGGCAGCATTCTGCAGAAGCAGACCCTCCGACACATTGTTGGCCTCGGGCGGCTCGTACGTCCATGACGAAGAGCACACTGACGGTGCGGTGTAGATTTCGATCATGGGCAAGGTTGTTGTGTGCGGCGAGATCACGGTTTTGGACCGGGCTTCCATTTTCGGCGACATGATGGGCGAGTTGGGCGCGATCCCAGCTTTGAGGTTTGATAGACGAAGCTCAATTCCAAGAGGGGTGTTCAGTGAAAATCGACGACTGTCTTGACGCAGAATCACACACGCTTTCAGCCCGGCGAAGGTAACGGGGAGAAAAGGGGACTACAGTCAAACATTATACTTTGCATGCTGTTAGTCAGGCCCCGCGCACGGCGGAGGAAGTGCAAACCCTGACCGGTTGCAGAATGGGGTCGCCGCCACAGGGAAGGCGACTTGTCCGCCCAGAATACATAGACCCAGGGCTCCTATAGTAGCTACAGATAGCTGACCGGGCGCAGAATCCCTTAGACGGCTTGCAGAATCCATGGGGCGCGGTCATTGGAGGTTGCCATGGGAGGATTGGGTAGATGGAGCGCCAAGCCCACTTTAAGGAAGAGAACCGGCCCTTGACGGAGCAGACCGGAAAATGGACCGGGAGAGTATCGATCCTGGTAGAAGTCCAGCGCTGCACATTGGTCCTGTCATTGACTAGTGTCTAAGCGATCCTTGTTCGCATTCGGGTGGTCATACGGCCCCCACGCTCTGGATAGGAGTCACCTAACTGCAACGGGGCAAGTGGACGGATCGGCGGAGCAGTTAGTGGTCAGGTCACTTTGTTTCTCTGCCGCAGAGATAGTACGTATGTCATAAATTGGTGTCCGCGGGGTATGTTTGGATCGCCAGATTCAAACGGCCATGGGACGGAGACTCCATATGAGTTTTCCTGTAGATAAACCGTCTGGTCACGAAATATGTCAAACCAAGTCGACATGGAGTAGCAATAGTTTGACACGGTTGGCATGCAGCGCCCCGCTAGTGGAGCCCAGGATAAACAGTCGGGGAATATACCGGCTCCGTCCTCCGTTGCCATCGCCCGCTCTTCCAGGGCCCTGTGGGTTCTTAAAAGTGGCAGTGTATCGGGCCATTCAGCACAGGCAGGTGACTACCCCCTGCAGACATGCGCAGGGTGATGTTTCCCCTGTTTGCTCGATATCATGGGAGAGCAGATCGTGCTCCGCCGTAGCATCTTGCGTGCGGGGAAACCGCATCTAAGAAGCCCCTAGTGTCGGCGTGAAACCAGCTTGCGATGCGAGAGCCCTCGCAATTCATCAAGGAACCCTGGGTACTCGGGAGATGGGCCACATCAAACAATCAGAGGTCTAACTTGCTGGAGAAAGTGGATCATTGTTGTCCGGCATGTGAGCTTCAACAGGGTACATGTAGCTGTAGCGATATTTAGGGCTTGCTTCTCACATGACATGACGGGGAATATATATGCGTTAGCAGGATACACCGCGCAATGGATATGGCTTACTATAGATCAGCAGCTAATTAGACTCTTGAGAAAGAGTAGAGTGAGTATACTTATAGCGTTTATTACTCAGCGGGGGGCCGTTGTCAACACTTTGAAAGCCTGCATGTGCTAGGGTACAAGCGTGATCAATTAATAGGCATCTAAGGCTTGTATACGGCTCACGGGCTCTCAATGGTGCGTTTAGTTAGATAGCTAGATAGCTTGGCGCGAGCTAATGCTTGCTAATCTTGACAAGACTTTCATGAGAGGAGAGGGCTTTTTATCGGCATCCCGAATTCAAGGGGGATTCTGTCATAGTTCCCGAGCACTTCGCCATCTGAAGTCAATATCGGCCCACTGCCTTTTCAATTGACTTGAGCATCCGCTGATCATTTTCCCTGGCTTTCCCGCGCTTGCTAAGTTAAATTGGCAGGCTTAGTATGAATATCGAAGATGACAACATTGATGATCTTGATAAACCTATGGGAGATGGTGATCATGCTTGATGGTCGTATGAGAGTCGGTAACTGCAGCATCTGCGGCAACCGCATGATTAGTTGACATATTAGCCTGGTTGTACTGCTTCCACGTGGTGATAGATTTAAGGTACTCTCTAGTCTAGAGACCCAATTAAAGTTGCAGAACTAAAAGCCAAGCACGGAACACGATATAGTATATGAAATACTAATAGTGGAACCGGTGACTGCAATCAGCTCCACGCATCAGTCAATTTGTGCGGGAGCTTTCTATTGCACAATCTGCAAAATTTCCATTTAATTCGCCATGCAACTTGCAATCTGTCACATTGATTTGATCCCATTGGTTTCAATTAGTATATTGAATGTTTTGATTAACTTCGGAGAATCCCCTACACTCCATGATAGGTAGGTGGTAAGCAATTGTGATCTCATCCTTATATACAGGAATCTACATGATTAAGTATCTAAGATACCTTTACCCGGGGAAGAGGTTCTGCTATTCTACAGAGGACTACTGTGATATATAATCAGAAGGCTCGCGCGGCACCATGTAGAGTAAAATACCAGTCGGCTTGAGAATATGATCTATAGGATTAAAATGACCGGTGGATGCGGGATATCGATATCAATACAATCAAATTACTGCAATATCGTGCCACACCTTTTCTCTGGCTCATACACGAATTTAATGAGCGAGGTGATCGGCCCATTGTTTCTCGAGGATCTTTTCCCAGCTGGCATGGTAGCGTTGTCTTACCTCTGCTATCTTTTGTTGAGGTTGACGGCGAACCTTGGCCTCCCTGCTTGCCTGATGCTGGTGAGACTAAACTGGCTCCCTGCGAGGTGTGTCACTCCTATCCATGATAGCCAATCATTCCCGGATCATTGTGGAAACCTCGACAGTGCACATGAATGCGTTAGAGGGTAGTGGGTCCTTAGGGCCACTTTACTCATGGTAGTAGGACCTCTCTCTCAACTATGACTCGCGGGATAGCCTCCATCGCATTTTATTGGTCTCCTTGGCATGACAGGCCATGCGCGGCTGCGACTTATGACACTGAGGGTTATTGTGGACAACGATAACAGTGGAATATGAGTATGGGCCACAGAAGCAAGGCAAAATGGGTTTTGATGCCTATTGTTGGGACTTCCCCTTCCCTTCCTCTTAATCTCTCTTGCTTGTATGACAAGAGCTCGGACAGCATCGGACGACCCGCGATGGCTATAAAACAAACAAAGCCATGTATTGGATAGCCCTTATGGTTCCATCTCCACAAGACACACTATCTAGAAGCACTAAGTATGCAAGTCTCTGTTTAGTAAGGATTGTAGAGCCTCGTCCGGTAACTGTTAAGTGCAGTGTCTATCTGCTACCTGGCTGATACCATACGAAGGCCCTTTCTTCCAATGCTAGAGGTGCATGGCTCTCTTACATCGGTCTGCGATTTGGCATGTCTGTACATGTAAGGGCAGCGACATGCATCCATTTATTGACATGTGGGTTGACCCACGCGTGGGATACCCGTGTCTGCGGCAAAGCGTTGACCGTGTGGATCATCACTGATCAGCATCCACTAAATAAGGGCTAAAGAGTCGCTATACCGGATGTCACACCCTCCCCTATTTGGAGTGGAGCCCTTAGTGTATCATAGCGTCCAGGTCTGATAGCCCCGGTGAATAGCTGAGAGAGCCGGATATAATTCGTTGCTTCGTATTTTTGCCAACATACATATATCACACATCCTACTCACTCGACGGCCATTGTTCCCGGTTCCCACCTTCGAAAACCTCACCACAATCGCACCCAGGCTCCAGGCCGACACCGACAATATGGACAGCCAAAACTCCACCGCCCTGTTCAGCCTCTCCCCACTTGATCACACCATGCCCATGATATACATGTCCTATGTGCTGGCCTTCCGAACCGCGGATCCGGACGGTGGCATTGAGACTCTCTACGAAGGCATATGGCCCGACTCCTTGCCACCCTACCGTTGCTGGGCGGAGAGGTTGTCGGCATCCCCGAGCTGAACGGCCACCGCAATGTTCACCAAGTCCGACTATCGAGCTCTGTGCCCCACGTGGACGACATCCTCAAAGTAAAGAGCCATCTGCTGCCGGTGTCAAGATTACCCACCCCCACACCGAGCGGTGCTTCCAGCGAACCTTCTGGTGATGAGCCTGGTCCATCGGTTGTGGAATTTGTGCCCATCTCTCCGCTAAGCCCGTGGACCAACCGTCGGTCCGTCGTTTAGTTCCAAGCCAATCGGATGACGGACGGAGTTGCCCTGGGAATGAGCTTCCATCATGCGGCTTTCGATGGCACTGGTGCGGAGCTCGTCCTCAAGGCACTAGCCGAGTGCTGTCGCGCCTTCAAGGCGGGCTCCGATGCCGCGCCACTGGCATCCGAATTCGCCGATAACGAGGTCAAGCTACGCGCGCTGATCAACGAAATGCCAGCTGCGGTGGAGGAACAGGACCACACGAGCAAGTATGGTACGACGGCAACCATCCCTGACATGCCTGCTAGCGAAGAGGAGGCGCGGATGGCGTCGTTGGACACCAGCCTTCTGACCAGCAGGTTCTCCTTCCCGGCGCCCAAAATCGAGGAGCTTCGGGCTTTCTGTAATGTCTATGTCCAACATACCCTTGGCTTAGATCTTGTCCTTTCTGCCAATGACATCCTCAATGCGCTTCTGGCCACCTCCATCAAACGTGAGCCCCCCGCCCGCGACGCCGAGTCCCACAGTTCTTCCGGGGCCCAGCTTCAGATGGCAGCGAATATACGCAAGCGATTCCGCCAGTCTGATTTACAAAATTATCTTGGGAATGCCGTGGCGATGGTTCGAGTCTCTATACACAGTGCGGAGACTACGTCACCGACGGGGACGGCTGTCTACGGCCAGGATATCGCGCAACTGGCCGCCGTGGCGGCGGAGATCCGAAAAGGCGTATTGGCGGTGGATGAAAAGCATGTTTTCAGTTTACTGTCCTTTATGCAAGAGCAGAAAGATTGGGGTGCATTGAGTGTCAAACTGGCGGACACCAGTATCAGCAGCTGGAGGCATCTGAGCGTATACAGTATGGACTTCGGCGAGCCACTGGGCCGCGTTGACGGCTTTGAGATGCATATGATTCCTCTTAAAAACGTGTGCATTGTTATGCCGAGGGCTGTTCGTACAACGCAAATAAATGGCTTTGGTGGCCGGACAGATGCCCCGTGGGAGGTGAACGTTACCATGACGCACGCTGGAATGAAGCGGTTGATGAGCGACCTATTGATCGTATGGGCAACTAAGTAATTTTGATTTCCCATTATGATTTACCTGGCTCCTTGTGTTCGATGTGATTTTCGGTTATCATGTATGTGAGCGCAGTTCGTGTTGTGTAGAATGAATAATAGCTTCAAGTGGGTACGAAGTCGATGCTAGAGGAATGTCCACCCAAATACTTCTACAACGGTTGAACGTCATAGGGCTTATCTTATCAAATGACCCTAATCAGCCGTTGCATCACGTGCTCAACGGGCTTTCTACCCGCTCACCGCGTATCAAACAATCAACAACCTTCCAATTCTTCAAGATGGACGTTCCAGTGGCCGCGAACATTCTTGGCACGATAGGAGCTGTTCGTTTCCTTCCCCTCTTTTTCTAACCGTCTACTGACTCCGTTGCAGGTGTGTTGGTCTATACAGGTTAGATGTGCAACTCCAGGCTTCATAGTGCACCCAGTATGCTAAATCCCGCAGCTTATACCTCAAATCGTCGTCAACTATCGGAGGCACAATACAGAAGGATTACAACCATCGATGATGCTGCTGTGGGCAGTTGCTGGCGTTCCTCTTGGGGTGTATAATATTGTGCAAAATCTGAACGTGGCATTGCGAATCCAGCCCCAAATTCTGACTTTCCTAAGTTTGGTCACATGGGCCCAGTGCTTCTACTATGGCAAGGTAGGATCCCTTCTCTAAAATAGTTTTGTGTGGAATGATGTACTTAATTCCGACAGAAGCGCTCGTTCATGGCGTGTATCACTGTAGTTGCCCCGCTCCTTGTGGGACTCGGTGCGATTGAAGTAGCGCTTGTCTTTGCGTTACGAGCCGCGAACGATCGCAACCTGGGATGGCCTCTTATATTGATGGCCGTTCTGAGCGCCTGCTTGCTTGCAGCTGGGGTTCTGACCCACTACTGGGATATCTATACCCACCGAACGGTCCGGGGAATAAGCTTTCTGTTTGTGGCCATCGATGCCGCGGGAGATTTGTTTTCACTGATATCTGTCGGTACGTGATTTCTCTTGTGCACGTTCCAGTAATTGGGGACTAAATGGTAGAAGTGTTTGAACAACGTATTGATATCCTGGCGATGGTCATATACGGGACTGAACTTGCGTTGTGGATTGGGATTATGATTTGTGGGGTCGTTTATAATTTCATTCCTTGGGCGAAGAAGGATTCGAAAACGAACCATACCGAGGAACTGCAGCCAGTCTCGCTTCACGAGATGCCCTCGTCAACCTCAGTGTTCCGGACGGCATCTGGGGCGTCTGGGTCAGACACGGTGGTGACGCGACGGGCGCCTCATCGGTCTGGATAACTATGCTGCTTCTACTCGGTGCTCGCCGTTATCATCGGCATGCCGCGCTTGCTCATACGAAACCACAATTAGAAGACTAGTCGTTGTACTAATTCTTTCTTGCACCAGTCCCTTCACTATAGCAGTGGACATTACACTGATCGCCTTCTGTCACGTTATAGACGGATCTGCTTGCATCTGAGAGAACAAGAACAGGCTAGACTCGGCGACAAGCCCATAATTATGACTTCACCGGGGCATTGCCGCACAACTACCCAACGCTTTCCCGGCAACCGCGTTCAACGTTGTATATTGATAAATCTCAGCCAACGCCCCCTCTCGCTCAAAAAAAGAAGCCTCCATCTGTCTTAGAATATCGGGGTGTCCAGTCAAGATCGATTTCATCTCGGTGTGGGCCTCTTCCACGGCAGGTGGGGCAAAGTTCTGCTCAAAAATTCTCGCAAAGCAGTGGTTCACCTTATCTTGGGTGTCTTGGTCAAGTGTTTTCTAAGACAACATCCGTCAGCAAACATGAGTACAAGACTTGCCACCTCTAGCCATACCTGGAGATCTGCGCCGAGAGCGATACTAGTCGCCCACCAGCGGGAGCTTGCTTTCAAATCCCACTCGGGATGCTCTTTCTGCAAGGTTTCGATGTGCCTATCCATGCGACCCAACTGCTCCTCCTGTTTTGAGGTGGGCTGCAAGTCATCCTGTTGGTACACTGATGTTTTAGACACTGTTGTGTCGTCCATGTTGTCCCGGTGAATTTGGTTATTCAATCTTGTAATGGACATCGGACACCTGGAGTCTTATCGACGAGATGCCGGCAGGTTTTCTATTTGACAAATGGTTAGATAGACGATAGAATTGCGATGTCGTCGATCAGCAGCTGGGCACCGGATAGACCGACATGTGCGGGGCCTTCTACTCACGTGCTGTGCTGACTCCGATCTCGTATTATAGTAGTCTTGGAAGGAGTGGTGCCAAGGCTAAATCGAAGGGCTTGATAGGTGTTTTTACTTAGACTATCATACTAGGCAGGCAATGGCAAGTGAGGCTTAGACCGTGCTGGAACCGGCCGTCACAACGACCAGCCCAGACAGGCACTGAGTCCACCTGTGAGGCCCTAGTTTTGAAACCCACTGCAATTGAAAGGGTGGTAATCAGTAAGGCAGAATAGTAAGGAATAGTAAGGCTGACAGATGGAATTTGCCGAATCCTGTGTGCAACAGAGCTAGGAGCATCATAGCATTGTCAACACGGTCAACATCTGATGAGCGGAACTTTGAATAAGATCGCAGTACAGAGAGGCAGCGATACAGTGTTATCCATGTGTTGGGTGTCTCAAAAACTTCATCGTTGTTGCTGTAAGTACGCATCAAAACACGGTATTATGTACGGTGTTGCATGGTCTTCCTGGCCGGTCAAGGCTACCAAGTGATTGCCCATGACCGACACGGTCACGGACGTTCGACCAAGACCTGGAACGGCGGCAACATGGATACTTCTGTGGACGACCTGAAGGAACTTTTCGAGTACCTCGACACGAAGGGTGCAATGATGGTAGGCCACTCACATGGTGGCAGTGAAGTCACAGTTCCTGGGAAAGCATGGTCGAGACTTCGGTCAGGTCTAATGCGAAAACCACGCTGGTACCACTGGGCCCAGCGCGGCCGGCTGTGTTGTACCCGGCATGACCCTAAAACAATCCAAAATAAGCGGCATTCCACGCAATCTTACAAAGACCAGCAGTTTGACAGCTTGAACCGGTCTGTTCAATAGAATATAGCGTTCGGCTAGAAACCATTTTGTAGACAACTACAAGTACATACGACCATAGGGTGTGGAGAACAGGGCTTCCCGTCCGCTCAGCCGTACTTAAGCCACACGCCGGCCGGTTAGTAGTATGGTGGGTGACCACATGCGAATCCCGGCTGTTGTATGTTTTTGTTTTTTATTTTTTTTGTGATTTGTCGGATTTAGCAACCAGGCCGGGTCAGTTTCAGGGCTCTGTCTGATATCTGGGTTATTAAGTAGGCTTGAGGGTCAAGATAATAAATAGCTTTGTTAAGATTAGCTGCGCTGTTGAACTAAGTGACACTTTGGAGAAAAAACAGGCACATGTAAGCATATAATTTTCTAATACAGATAATTTTTAATAGTTGATATCTTCTATCTATTCTTTAAGAGGGTGACAGGATTATTTGATGAGCACGAGCTCTGGTATATAGTCACTTTTCTCTGTTAACACTTTGTCAGGCTTCGCATGAGCTCACTGGGAAACAATAGTGTCCGGGATCAATTAATCATGTGCAAAGGGCCCGAATCTTCCTATTCTCCCTCATGATTTCCGACGTAACCATCGGTGGAGATGAGTCGAGCTAGGGTCACTGGAATCTCGGCTGTCGATTGGCCCTTGCGGCCTGGTAACTAGGAAGAATATAACACCTATGTAGTAACAAAAGATCAGAAAGCAATCGATGATCCAAGGTTAGCTAGACTCTAGGAACTGTAACATCTTCGTACCACTCCAATTCAGCTTCATAATAGTCATATTCAGCTCCGGAAATGGCGATTGCGCGCCGAAATTACCATGTGTGAATTAATCAAATGTATGTACAGTCTTGATTGGTATATATATCAGTTTACCTCCAATCTGGGGTAGGGTTTCATCTCAAGCGCGCACCGCGGAGTCAGGCCCAGTCGGGCCAACAACTTGAGTGCCCGGCAGTTCATGGTAGATCGGCTTAATCTGATTATCCTGGCCATCCAACTCCATACCACGGTCGTCGACACTCTGTTCATGCGTGACGCCGCTATTGCTCGTGTCGCCGTTGTTACTATCGCTGACAAGGGGCGCATCGGCGGACCAGAAAGGTGGCTGTGCCGCAAATTGACTAGAATGGGATGAGGAGTAGCCCGGGGGTGCATTGTGAACTGGACCTGAAAGAACGGCTTGATCGGTTTCGGGCGGAGTCGCTTTGTTGGCCGCTTTCTGGCGGTGGCGACGGATGAAGAAGAAGAGCAGCGCGGCGAGGAGGACGGCGCCTACTACTGAGCCGACTGCGATACCTGCTACGGCGCCCTTGCTCAGGCCTGAAGGGCCGCTGGAACCATCGCTGGGACTGCCATCCGAGGAGGAAGAGTCTGCGTTCTTGGATAGAATGTCGACCACGTTTTCTTCTGCGCCCTCGTCCCACTTGCAGGAGGACACATTGAAGGTGCGGCGCTCGTAGTCGGCGGAGAGATACCTAGGATAGGTTTAACATATGCCTCAATGAGGGGGATTTTTCTTTTCCACTCACGCTTCTTGCAGGAAAGCCCGCCCCAGTGTGTACTGCGAGGAATTGTCCGCGCGCTTCAGAGGAAAGTAATGGCTGCTCTTCTTGACCAACGGAGGCTCTGCCTTCAGGGCGAAAGCGCTATAAGGTAAAGTGATAGTAACAGTTTCCCCGCCGGTCGACACGTCCGAAAGCCGAAAGGCCACCTCCGCGTTGGAATTGAGCAGCTCGGTGTTCTGTGTCTCGTTTACCAAGTACAGACCCGACTCATCATCGAGAGTCAGCCCGAATGCCTTCTCGAAGGCGTCGCAGACCTTTTTGGGTAGCCAGAGACTTGGGTCCGTGGAGTCGACGAAGATAGAAATGGGATCGGAGAGCAGAATGGCGGAACTTTTCCCGCTGTAGCTGATGGACTGGACATAGAGAGCAAGGTCACGGGTCGTGTCGTCTTGCATGGTGAAGGACACTGAATTGGGGGTAAAGCGCGAGGTGTCATAGCCGGAGAAGATGAGTTGGCCATTGACTTGTTTGAGTCCTAGATTGAAGCAGAAGAAATACCAGGTTAGAGAAACACCGCCTTGAGACTGTCGCCCCAAAAATTAAGAAATGATTGTCTACTCACGATATTTGGCTCCGGCCGTATAGCTCCAGCTGAGACTTGGTATGACGCCCTCATCTTTGAGGGATGTCACAAAGGAGGGGGCCGAGAAATTTCCCAGGGAAGTGAAGTTGACTGGCTGCGGGTTGAGACCAAAGACTCCGCTGTACGGGTTTCCGGTCAGTTTCTCATTGATTGATTTTTCCGGGTCATGGGATTCATTTTACAGGTAAAAGGGGTCGGGGGTTGCGATGCCCGCGACGGTCTGGTTCTTCAGTCTCTCTCCGGTCAGACCAACGCCCACCGTGTCGAGGGCGAATTGCGCTCTTTGCGAATATCCCAAATTGGCCCCGAGACCAACGCCATTCTGATTGATTCCATACAGCCCCAAGTCGTGATACGAGGACGACTGGTTCGGGTTAAATAGACTCCCCCGGGAGACGGCGCAATCGGACGGCACCGAGTCCTTGAAGACGGATTTCGAGCAGCCGTACTGCGACAAGACGACCATCGACTCCGACGAGGCCGTCGAGACCAACACGCGGACGGATTGTTGGGGGTTTCCAACTCGAAGATGAAAGGTGCTCCATGGTCCGTCGTTTCCCTCACTAAATGGTGCATTAGCCCCTAACATCTACGGCCTTCGAAGGGAGATCCAATTCACAAGTATTCGCTGGCTGAGACCACAAGAGCCGAAGGGGCTCGCCGAGTGATGGAGGAGGTCGCGCATTTCGAGGCCCAGGAGACCACCAAAACAAGCTCTATCAAGACAATTACAAGATTCATGAAGGGCTTGACCGCCAAAAAGGGGCATCAGAGAGAGAAACTGTAGTGCGACAATGATGGCCGAGTCAACTATCATGCTGAGTAGGGAGTTTCGCGTTTGCAACGTGGACCTGCAGGCCATTGTTTCTCGGAGCCAGCTCGCTCTCTGTTTACTTCCTCTCTGCAAACCATGACGTTATTCCACGGGCCGTTAGGCCCTTCAGTTCGTCGCGGTTAGTCAAGCCAAGCCGTTAGGGGCCATCAACGCACCACTTCCACACACATCCAGGAATCACTCAAGGCGACAGTGGGGCGATCGGCCGGAACCAAAACAGGGTCAGGATCGGTAAAAAACCTGCTCCTTCGTCGGGCTTGCAACCGCCAATCCAGAGCCAGATATCGTCTCCACATGGTTGCCGTTCCTGGCTACCCGACTGCCTGTCATTGCCTTTCTGAGGTATACCGCCACTCGCTCTAGCATCATATCTGGATGACGGCATCAAGATGCAGGGCCCTTTTGATATACGAAGACACGAACGCTGGCAGGAGGTAGATCACAATAACAATTTTGCCGGGTCAGTGGTCTTATATTGGGGGCTCCCGTAGTCGGGTGGAGTGTTTTTGTTTACTTGCTCTTCTACTGCTTCTCTCCTAACCCTAACCGCGGCATCGCATTTTTTCCTAAGCTGTTTTTTTTTTGAAACGAGAGAGAGAACGTAACTATGTTGTCTGTTCTTCCATTCTGGACCGCAGTTGGACTGCTGGTCGCTGGAGGTGAAGCCTTTGATGGCCCAGGTATGCCGCTTATCGCATAGAAACGAATTCGAACTAATGCTAAAAACGCGAAGTTGGTCAGGCTCCCGACCCTCGGATTGACCGGCACAGTCCTTGGGACAGCAGTCCTGACCCCGAGCGGACCATCCTGTCGTCCACATCGGCCTCTTGGCATCGTGGTGTGAATGTCGACGCCAGCACCCATGCGCTGGAGCAGACCGTGTCAACCAGCCCATCCACGGTGTGGAAGGGTTCCAGCACAGTCCCTGCCCCTTCCTCCGAGACAGTCTCAACCGCTACAGACACCTGTCCAACTGTCTCTGTCTCCTATGTGACCATCAAAGAAACATTTTCGACGACCTTGTGGAACACTACCACTGCAACGGCTTATAAGGTCATAACTTCGACGAAAACTGCCACATCGCATGTCCCTACCCCTTCACCGACGACGGAGACTTCTTACGTGCCTACTCCCTCGCCCACGACGGACACGACTTATGTGCCTACCCCTTCGCCGACGACGGAGACATCGCATGTCCCTACCCCTTCACCGACGACGGAGACATCGCATGTCCCTACCCCTTCGCCGACGACGGAGACGTCTTATGTGCCTACCCCTTCGCCGACGACGGAGACGTCTTATGTGCCTACCCCCTCGCCTACGACAGATACGTCTTATGTGCCTACCCCCTCGCCCACGACAAAGACGGACACGTCTTACGTGCCAACAACAATCATCTCGCCAACGACTGACATTTCCATCGTGCCGACTACCATCACCAAGGCACCGAACCCATGCCCAACAACATGCACCGCGTAAGTCTTCTCATCTTAAGAATCCATAAGAAAACCTTGCAATAGAATAATCACTAACGCTGCAAAAGCTCTGCCGGCACTGTGAACCTGTTCTACTGGCCAACCGACGGCCACAGTTACCCAACCACCTATGTCAACTCCCACCTTGACTACACATTGTAAGACCTTGCACACAGCCCCTTTCTCTACCCGCATTGATTTCATCTAAACTAACAACTATCACCCCCAAAGCACCTCCCCGTCCGTGTACATGGTCGTCGACACGCTCGCCGGGTACAACACAGCCGGCCGCGCCGGGCCCAGCGGTACCAGCGTGGTTTTCGCATTGGACCTGACCGAAGTCTCGACCATCCAAGGATCCGCCACGCAACAACTGACGCTGGGTGATTTGGGGACAGATTGCCCTAAGTCTGAGGATGCCTCATTCATCGTCACCGCGCCGCCCGACGGACGCTGCCGGCCTGTCCTGGCGGCTCCCCCGGCGGTCAAGTCGTGGGTCTCGCCGTGCAACGGATGCGGTAACTTTGGTCTGTTCGATCCCCCTTATGCCGTCCCGACGCTCGAGGGAGGTCTGGTGCCGGCGCCCGTGACCACGTCCACGTCGGAGCCTGAGACCAAGACGGTACCCACTGCCGCCCCGACCACCTCCTTGTCACCGGCAGAGGAGACGACGAGTTCTCCCTTCAGTGCGCCGTCGTCGACTGAGGAGGCGACATCTTCCGATGAACCAACTCCCTTTACAACGTCGAGTGCAGCGCCCACAATTAGCTCAAATACATCGTCCACGACCGCCTCTGGCCCTTCGTCTGCCAGCGGAAACTCCAGTTCGGCCTCTGCGCCCGCTTTCACCGGCTCCGCAGCCAGGGAGATGCCCAGGCTTGCATGGATGGTGATGAGCTTCTTTGCTTCGGCTTATTTGATTTGATGTGATAGCGACAGTTTTATAAACCGAAAAGCGCCCGCACTTATTATGAATAGATAAGTCATTACTAGTAATGAACCAAAAGGTGAATACGAACATGTGACATGCGTTTATCATTGAGCTGCTTTTTTCCCTCATTGCTTGTAGTCAAGCTTATTTTCATTGGGTGCGCAATGGCGCAAGTTTATTCATCGAATGTATCATCGTATGATCACGGCACCAGTCCTAGGTTCGTACAAGAAGTCGGAGTTTCCGCGCTTTTCCATGATATATTTCCGCGCCGTAATCGCGTCCCTTGGAAGAATCTTACGAGGAATGATCAGTGTCGAAATATCAATAGGCGCCAAAAAACGTGCGATGGAGAGCGATAGTGGAGAAAAATTAGACTCCACACACAAACCCTGCCCACCCGAGATATACAGCAATCGTCCCCCCACAACCCTACTCCTCAGGAGCAATACGCTTTCAGTGATCACCCCAAACCCTTTCCAAAGAGAGCCCTTGAGCCCTTTTTCTGTTTGCCAGATGATTTCCGATCGGACCAGGGGCGCACGTCAAGTCGCAGTTAAACCGGTTCCTATCAATCCTGCTATCTCCTGCTAAGGACCCCTGCGACCCCTATGACCTCCAGATACCAGATATTAGTGACCACTCGTATCGGTCGCATAACGTGTAAGTCAGTGTCTACGAAAAAAAAAGGGTTGGGGGCGGGGGGGGGGTTTAAGTGGGAAGCAGACCTGTTTTTCTATACCCTGTGGTCGTATGTATATACTAAAACCAAAAATATGTCTATGGCGACAGATTGTTTCTAGCGCTTGGGGGGAGATAAAAAAGAAGAAGAAAAGAAAATACTAAAAGAAGAAAGGCACTTTTGGTCATGATAATAGATCTTTGGCCAGCCTTCCAGAAGCCATGTTCGAGAAGGCCTTCGGTAAATTGAATAGGAAGGTATACCACGAGGAGGCCGATCCCTACGCATTTACTCCTGGGAGGTTGGTGTGCATGTCATATCTCTTCTCATGAAGCGCTTGAAATCGACGGGCGAGTATGAGCTTGCCCTTAAAGTGGCGCGGCTGCTTTTTGAACCCAGCTTGGACGACCCGAAGCTCGGCCGGACCTGGCTCTTTCTACTATTCCGCGACTCGTTGGTTCAAGCAAGTGGTTTATTCAATTAGTCCACCACGTGGGACGGCAAATTGACAGCCACGGAGTAGGATATGAGCCATAGCCTTGAACACGCCACGGCTCGTGGACAGCCTATCATATACATGAAATGGATTGCTATCAAGTATACCAAGATTCTTCTAGATACTGGCGATGCTCTGTTTTACCAGAATACATTGGAGACATCATCTCTTATCCTCTGGTCCTATGTTAAGAGCTCTCATATCTTTAGATCCGCGCTATTAAAGGTTCCGGCTCTTGGGAAATATCATGTCATAACTTCTAATCAGCTAGTCTGTAAGCTAGATAGCGTTTCCAATATGAATGTCGATCTTGAGCTTGATTTCCCCTTCGAGTGTAACCCGGAATTTCGGGGATTAACCATCGTTAACACAGTCATTGAGTCGGGATACCTGGTGTACCCAGAAACTAGTTACTTCTGTGTGCTGTCTAACCCCATTATCCTGGTGCTCAAGGAGAGGATCAATAATCGGAATTTTAAAGTCTATAATAATATGGACGTTAATGGAACTATACAGCCTCTGTTTAGGCAGCTAATTAATCACGGCTAACTTATCAAAGATTTCTTTACTAGATAGGAACAAAATAACTATATTGATTTCTTATCTATCATACCTTCTATCTTGTTAAGAAGTTGATGATGGCCTCTAGACCCGTGTCATAATAGTAAGCGCATTTTATTACATATCTATATAATTCATCATTTTTGAGTATAAATCAGTCTGATATGGCATAGTTGATGATAGTAAAGGGATGAGTTATGGTTTGATTTATCTTCCACATACGCAATTAGCAAAAATACTTCAATATCAGGCGCTATACAAGTTGGTAGCCGTAGAGATATTCGTAATTGAGATATAAGTAATAGAGAAGGATAAATCAACTGGTTGGCCCCCCAGCTCAGCGCCCAAGCGAGACATACAATTAAGGCGGAGCCGTGAAGCTTAGCGCCTCCAATGCATTTAATTCTTCCTTCCTCTCCAAAGAGTAACGCATACCGCATCGAGAGCTGTCCTTTGATAGGAAGAAAGGCGACGGAAAAGGTGTCTGAGGCATACAGCGAAGTGCTTGGCATCTTGCCTCAAAGGCATTCCAACTGTGGGTTTCCACAGAGTAGGATAGGTTACTAAAAGTATCATTTGCAAAGAAGTCCTTTGCTAGTATATATGTATGGACATTTATATAGTGAGGAGCGTGCAATTTGAGTTCATTATCATGGCGCCGGTCCAGAAGACAAACAAATCAGCATACACAGCATCATTGCATCCGACATCTCCGCCGTTGCTGAATTTGAACCACCGGTAGCCTGATCATAGAAGCTCTGGCGAGTCAACGTGTTAGGTTCACCATCACCGCCGTAGAGAAGAAGAGCCGGACGATTAGCGGAAAACGCCAGATCGCCTGCGGAAGCCGTCACAAAGCGGAACTGCCCATGCTCCTCAGAATTCTGTTGAGCCTGGCTGATATCGATGGGGAGTTGGATTAGAGATTCATTCTCTTTCGATATGGCTGATGACACGTCCACCTGGGTAGGATCAAACACTAGAGCTACCGCTTTGGATTCTTCTACAATAGCGAGTACTTGCTCTGCTTCAGGGGCATGCCCTTTTGTCATGATTAGTATAGAACAACAGATAATTGAAAAAAAAACCCACCCATTGGGACAATAACACCTCCCATCGAGAGAATCGCCAAGCTCGCCACAAAAAAAGGGTACTGGATTTCGGCTAGTACGGCGACGTAGCCAGCGCCATCTTTGAAGGACCCAGTTGCATCAAGCAGGCTGGAGGGAATAGCATTTTGGATTTTCAGACGCAGCATCTGCACATCGTGCAGAAACTGGGAGTAGGTGAGTTTTAGGCCACGTGCACTGTCGTTGATGATGATTCCATCTTTGTTTTGATGGGCGGTGTTGATCAGACGTGTGAAGAAAGGGTCGGAGGGGAATGCCACTTCTTGAAAATGACCTGTCTCTTCTTGATTGATTATAGGAGCCTGTTCATGTTCATGCTTGTGTTGCTGTTCGGGTTGATATTCATGTTCATGTTCATGCTTATGCGCCTTATGGTCATGGGGACAGGCGCACTCGTTATCAGAATCGAAATCCAAATCTGAGTCGCAGTCATAACCATCCACTGCAAGACCGGGAACACAGTCTTGACACATTTCGTCGTTTGTTTGTCTTTTTGGTCCTGGTAGAATGTCTATGGAATGGTGGGGTTCTCATCCAGCACTTTCGGAGGTTAAAAAGTTCTCATGCGGGGCGGTTATGATTGGCCTGAATAATCAGGAAACCCACCTCGTTCCGATCCTTACCAAAAACAATTAGTTTGTTTTCACAGGTTCTATATGACCATTTCTATTCTCAACAATCCGAGTTAGACATAATTGCGTAGTAGGCGACCCCTAGTGCATCCCAGCTATTGCATATTGGGTAGGACTGGTAATAGTTTTATTCATATATATATTTTTATCACCGTGATTGGCTTAGCACGGCTTGGGTGCCTAGGGAATTCCTCGCAGGCATCACGACCCGGAAGGTTGAGAAGTAGCCACTGCTGGGGCTGTTTCCCTGGCCTTGCCTTTCATCTCCTCCTGTAGAACCGATGCTCTTGTATGATTCATGGGCGATGGGTGATGTGTTTGCAAAGGAGCAATTTGTGAGCGAAAGCGCTAGATAGGCTCTTGGGACAGCATGAAGATGGGGAAGTCGATGCTCCGGCTGAGTACCGAGACTGGGGGGATGGACAATAAGACCGAGGTGTTGGACAGAGCGCTCCTATCGTGGCGACTGCACGATATGGATCATGTGGAGCGCACGCTCGCCGAGACTACTCGAGTATGCTGCTCGCAGGTGGTGATTGTTCAAGGCGCGCTGAAATGGATTCCCGGAGATCTCTGTCCAGCGCATCCCAGCCCGCTATGTCTTCTCTGAGTTGGATGCAGCAGAGCGGTGCACTGTAGCCGCGCAGTTCCTTGCTGGGCGATGTCATTAAACGCACCCGCAGCACGCAGAGATCAAGGAGATCCTTCGTCCCCGGCTGCAGCTCTTGTTCCAGGGCCATTATCAGGCCATTGGTTTTGACTTGGTTGCTGAGGTGGCCAAGCGAGGGCCGAAGAAAGGCCAGGCGTAGGAACCTCGCCGATTTTATATTCTCAGACTGTCTATGCATTGGCATACTGCTAAATACTTTCGGAATACGATCCACATTATTGGATCATCATGTCTTGACCGATCATGGGCTTTCCAAGTACTGTTTATGAGTCTAAGCCACAGCATGGGTTCCGTTTGGAATGAGCCAATATCACCAGCACCCTTAACAAGAAGCTAAGTGACAGGAGAAGCGTATTCTGTATGTAATCTACTGATGCAACCCAAAACCTACTCGGTCCCCTCACTAGATTTCTAACAGGGTTCGTGTAGACATCAAGTGAAAGAAGCGGCGCTAGTTGCGTCCCTGGTCTTCTTACTCTGCAGCTGTCTTTAATCTTCTTTTCTGTTCATTAAGGTATCACATTCCTTCAGGGTGATCACCATGGCTAAACCAGCAATTCCATCGTCACTAGCCACCAAGCTTCATACATCATCGCCTGATTTAGCTAGGAAAATCTCCGTGATGTTCTCCCTTGGCCTTGATGGATAAGGAGATTAATCAATGTAAAGATTAGTCTGCTAGAGCCCCTAAGGAGCTTTACCCATTTAACAGTCTGGTAAAGGCTCGGTTATATTCTCAAAAATCCACTAGCGGGAAGTCAGGTATAATTGTTATGGAGGAGTTCAGACCTTTCCCACCGATATTAACCTGCGACTCGTGCTCCGTTTTGGGAACGCTGTTGTCATTGGGCGCTCTTATCACTTTACTTATTATTGAATCGTGCTATTACAGGCGTTGACTATGTAGCTAGTAGGGCCTTCCTCTAGCTAGTCATGCGTAAAAACTTGGACCCTGATATCACGTAGGGCACCCCAAGATAACTGAGTAGATATCGTAGACGAATCAGAATAATTAGAGCTTTGGTATAACTTATTTTGGGTCATGGGTGCTGGTGGACATTGGTAGCCGGAGAAGGGAAAGCTAGCAAGTCCGAAATGTCAATGGACCGCCCGAGGTGGGTCTGGTGGTCGATGAGAACTGTACACAAGGGAGAAGATTTGCAATTGAAATCAAAATTGGGGAGAACAAAAGATAAGAAACAGAAATCTATAAAAAAAAAACAAAAACATACAACAGCCGGGATTCGCATGTGGTCACCCACCATACTACTAACCGGCCGGCGTGTGGCTTAAGTACGGCTGAGCGGACGGGAAGCCCTGTTCTCCACACCCTATGGTCGTATGTGTTAGTTTCAACTGATAGAGGATTGTTATAGATGGGTAGAAAACAAATCATGAGAATGATCATACCTACAGACGGCAGTCTCTCGAGAGCGATGGTTGATCTGATCTTCTGTATTTCCCCCAAATCTGGAATTTTAACTTCGCCCTCGATGTGCTCTAGGGAACCTTTATAATACCTGTGGATAGAACAATTTGACAAAGACAAGGCACAAAGGCTCATAAACAGCTTCCAGACGTCTAGACTGAATCCCCCCCCCTCTCTTGAGACATTGACAAGAGAATGGCGACAGCTCCGATTGGAAAGAAGATATTCAAGGTCGCGACGGCCAAAAGTTTGATACTTGAAAAGCTCTACGAGGACCACCTATAGTCAGGCGAATTGAAAGCCAATATTATCCCAATCAATTACCTGCTTTTCGACTTTGTAGCCCATGTAGACACTGTAATTAGAGACAATTGGGAGTATGTTCAACACTTCGACTGGCTTTGTCGACTCGCAAACTGGGCCGACGGTACCGAGCTTCTGAAAGCATCCGCACGGAGCATCTCGAATATGGCATCGGAGCGGGATGTGACTATTAATCAGTTTGACTCTCTTATTGATATCCTCGGGGTGCGGCTTCCTATGTTCCCTGCAGAGGACCCCAAAAGGCCCTATGGCTATTGCTAGACGACGTACTCATCGTGCCGAATGATGTATCAGTGTTCAGCTGAAGTGGCAGATAATCCGGGGCGCTATTTGAGGACGTTCACTGCCCCCCCCGGAACATCAAGGGTTCTCAATTTCATATGGATATCCCCAGGCTACAGCCACAGTAATTAAGGAATCATCAAAATATTCCAAAATCAACGCTACCGCAAGGCAAAACGCGATCGCGCCGTGAAATGATGTCCTGATATTATCATTCATCGGACAAATGTGGAGGAGCAGGAGGGCCTATTACTCACCCTACTGAAAGAACTTGTAGAGGTCATATGGTGCGAACGTTTTGACAGTGTTGTAAATTACCTGATTGAGCTAGATAAAGTGCTGATAGCGCTGGGCGAGGTTATCAAATAGGCGAGGAAGAATGAAGAGTGAAGAAAGGCTATTCAGCAGTATAAAAAGAACCCATAGCACAAGGAGGAACCAGCACCAGAGTCTCCGAGATTAGCAAGCACAACTAACTCCGCACGTGCAGCTGCTGCCTTGATCATCTACTACAGTGTTCTGAAAGGGCACCACATACCCTCTATCCTATGGGGGTTGCTCCAGTGTGAGCGCACTGGGATTAGGGTCAAGACTAGCAGGACCTATGATTAGCCTGTGTAGACCTTGAAATGGGGCAGATCCAGATCCAACTTTTAGATCTAGATCCTGATCCACCAGATTCCTAGATCAAAGAATTCAATCTAGATCTGCCCCATGGGTCTACACAGGATAGATTAGAATTAATCTATTCTAATCTTAATTTATATAAAATTATTAAGACTATCCTTTTTTAATTATATAAAATAATAATTTATTTAAATAAAATATTATTATTTATACTTATTCTGGTTAGTATATTTATAACTCTTTAAAAAAAATATTTTATAATATAAAATTCTATATTTTAGACTTGTAAATAGATTATTTTACTTGTTACTATCTTATTATCTTATTAATTAAATATATTAAATTAAAAGTATATTAAGAAGAGATTACTTAAGTTATTTAATAAAATATATATATAGCTTCTCTTATAATTTCTAGTAACTAGTAATATTATATGCATTATTAAAAAGATATATAGAATATTTAGTAAAGATATTAGCTATAACTAAAGAGAGTACTTTAGCTATAAAGATATTAATTATAATTAAAAAAGATTTATAAATCTTATTAATATAAAAATTTTAGTTATAATTAATATAATATTAAGATATTCTTTATAAATTATATCTAATATTTACTAATACCTATTATTATTCTAGATTTAAAAGATTAGTAAATTTATAAATACTAGTTTATAATATTATAAATAATTTTAGTTTGTCTAGTATTTAAACTTTAGATTTATATATTATCTTTTTTTTAATTATAAGACTTAATAAAACTTCTCTTATTTTATAATTTAATATATACTAAAACTTTGTTACTTAATTAAAAAATTTATTTAGTATTAAAATAATCAGGATCTTAATTATCTTTATCTTATATTAATTAAATAAAAATAATTAAAATATCTTTTAAAGCTTTTATATTTTTTTTATATTTTTATATCTTATCTCTTAGAGAATACTAGTCTTATTATTTATAAGATATATAATATTTATAATAATTTTTTTAATTATCTAGATCTTTCTATTAGTTATCTTAAGAATAATAAAGTCTTATAAAAATAATAAATTTTAAAAAACTTATAAAAAGTCTATAAGAAGCTCTAGAAGTATTATTAATAAATATATTAAGTAATAAGTTAAATTTATATTATTATAATTATTTTTAATCTTATATCTAAGCTTAAGAAGTTTAAAATTATTATATAACTAGATAATAATATTAATTAATATTCAGAATATTATACTATCTTTAAAAAAATATTTTATTTTTATTATAGCTAGAATCTAAGTATTAATATATAATTATTTATTTTAGACTCTTTATCTAGACTAAATAAGATATTTTTTTATTTTTTATATTAATAAAAACTTATTTTCTTATTAAAGATCTTTAAGAAGCTTAAGATTTATCTTAATATAAAGAGTAAGTATATTATTATATTTATTAATATTTTTACTTATTATTAATTATTAATAAGATATTACTAGTTAAACTAATATTATTAATTACTAGAAATCTTATTATAATTAATAATATAATATCAAATATCTCTTTAATAACTCCTAAGATATTTATTATTATTATTATAATTAATTATATCTTAATAAATTAATTAAGATTCTATTATCTTTATACTTAAAAAAAAGATTATAATATAATAATAATAAGAATATTAATAATAGAAATAATAATATAAATAAGAATTAAAAAAAGAAATTATTATTAAAGCCTGTATATATTATTTAAATAATTAAAGAAATATAATCTTTTTAATTTTATTAATAATATCTTAAATAATATAAAGAATAAATAATAAATTATAAGATTTACTCTTTTTTAAAGCTTAAATATTTAAATAACTTGATTATAAGTAATCTAAAGAATTAAAATAAAAAATTATAAGATTAATAATTATTAATTAAGAAAGTATTAATATTATATTATAAATATTATATATTTATAATAAATTATAAAGATAATATAAATATATTAATTACTAATTAACTAGTAATTATTAATATATTTATTATAATCTAGTCTTCCTAGCTAGTAATTAATAGTAAGTAAATTAAATCTTAAGCTTTAACCTAGCCTGGTTATAATAATTAATTAGAAATCTATATCCTAACCTGACTAGTAATTAATAATGAGGTTATAATTAAGATATAATAGTCAGGTTAACCCACTCTAGTTATATTAGTACTTAGTAGTATTTAAATTATATTAAAAATAAAGAATAATTTTAGTTATAACTAAAAGAGTATTCAGGTTTTTATATAAATAAGAATAAATTTATTTATGTTCTAAATTTTAGTTATAGCTAAAAGAGTATCTTACTTTTTATATAAATAAGAATAAATATATTTAAGAAAATAATTTTAATTATAATTAAAAAATAACTAGACTTTTATTATAAAGATATATAAGATATAAATATATAATAATTAGTAATTAAATAATAAGATAATTACTTATAAAAGTTAAGAAAAATAAGAAATTTTATAACTTAATAATATTAGATTAAGAAAAAGATATATAATTATTATCTCTAGTCTAAAAAAATTAATATATTATTAAAAAAAAATTAATAATAATTATACTTTATTACTTATTAAATATAGATACATCATACTAGATTATCTTATAAAAAAAAGTAAAATTCTTTATTTATATTAAGACAGACTTTTTTAATAAAGTGAAATTATAAAAAATAATTTATATAGACTTTAGATTATAAGAGTATTTTATCTTAAAAATAATAAAACTCTATAAGATTCTCCTAATCTTTTAGCTAATTATAAGCCATGCTTAATGATTAGAAATAGAACTATACTTAAAAATAAGTAGGGTTCTATTACACCCACTTATTAGGATGTGATTAGTTCTAGTCATGTATTGCCTACTGGTCACAGTTAGGGCATATACATAGTTATTTATTATTCTATATCAGACAGCAGGCGGTAGATATGACTACAATCTGACAGGTACCCTTTCTGATGCTCGCGTACCACCAACAGATTTGCTTCATACTCTGTGGTGCAGGATGGCACAAATGAGAAACTAGAATTCCCCTGGTATTTCTGCCCATTATATATTATCATCTCATGCAGAAAATAGTTCTGATTATCGAGGCGCTGGAGAGAGAATACTGGATGTGATCCCATCCCCCATGACAGCTCGCTTGCAACTTTGATCGACACATCATCCGGTATTTCTCTAAGACCTAACCAGCTCGAACTATCCCACCAGGCACTAAACCATGGAATTAGTTGGCCATCCTCATGATATGTTACACCTGTAATATCGAGGCTGTGTTGCACTCGATTCTGGCATTCTGCTAGGACGGCCATGACATCACCTGCGAGAAGATAGCCATGCGTGGATAAAATAAGATAGGACCTTTGTATTATATCAGTATGAAAGACTTCCCAGACACAGGGCTTCTTACAGTATGTCATCATCAGAATAATCACCATTGAATTCTACCACCATTCGCTGGCAGGGAGGCTGCGTGGCCAGCATAGTCGTCCATGATCCAGGTTTGTCGTAGATACGTTCCTTCAAGGTAAAATTTCCCTGATCGTGTAGTACCCCACATGTTTCATTCTTGGATATTGAAACAGCCATCCGGTTAAAAGCAGGGTTCAATATCCATCCTTCTTCACCAGAAATTGACTGCGTTTGAGTGTCCTTGATATTGTTGGGTCGATACCAGCAAAACCCCTGGAGCGCCGGGGACGTCTGGATAACATCTCTCCAGGTACAACAAACACGCTGGGCTCGAATTATTTCCAGATAATTATCCAAACACAGAAGTATCCGCTCGCTCAGCTCATAGATACTGAACGCTTTCTCAGTTGTTGATGACATTTCCAGCTCTTGCGTAGAGTGGCATTCGGTTCGGTTCGGTGCGGGTTCAGGGCGGGTAGGAACCAACTTGTTGCGGATTCAGTGGCTAGGTTTAGACGTAGGTGCGGCTTGGTAAGGATTTTGCGGTGCGGTTATGCCACTACTTATTAAGAAAAATGTTGGGTTGGGTAGACTAAACTATTTTAGACCTAGAATTTAGTCCTAGCTAGCCCTCTCCAGCCTATCCAATGGCAGTAATTCCAATGCAGTGCGTTGGAATTAATTTTAGCGTATTTTGATGAGGGTCATGGGTGTATTAGAATTAATTATCTATTTTTAATTCTATTCCACATGAATATTATCCTGATTCTCTTTAAACTTTAATATATTATATTTTTATTACTAGAATATAAGATAATTTAATCTAAGAGTTATATTATTAATACTTGATTTTTAAGAAATTTTTAAAAAGTAAAGATTTAGAAAAGAAATTTTTGTTAGAGTAGGATTCTACTAGATAAAAAGATTTTTATTATTATATATATAACTTTCTCTTTTCTTTCTCTTACTTCTAATTATCTTTAAGTATCTTTATTATAGATTAAATCTTTTTTTATTTATTTTCTTACTAGCTCCTGATCTGCTGTATATATAAATATAAAGTATAGTCTTATAAGCTAGCTACTTATCTTACTTAAGCTTATTATTTATCTAAGAATACTATATCAGGCTATATCCAGGAGACTTAAAGACTAGTTTTAATCTAGAATCTTATCTAGCTAGCTCTATCTTAAATTATAACCTAGCTTATTCTTATTCTTAAGATATATCTTAATAGAATCTAGTATTATTATAAGTCTAATTATTTATATATAACTTAATTCCTAAAGTCTATAAGAGAATATTAATAAGTATTATATAATTATACTTTATACTTATATATAGATTAGCTAAGATAAATTAATTCTTAACAAGCTATAAACTTTAGTAAGAGATTTTTTAGAAAGATAACTTGTTAACAGGTCTTTTTAACCTGTTATAACTTATATTATATTTAAGTATTATCTAGTCCTAAGCTTAAGTCTAGCCCAGAACCTATAGAGCTAGAAGCCTGTAACTAGAGACTAGTAACTAAGATAAATAGCTACTAGAATCAGTAGCCTAAGCCCTGTGTAATTAAGCCTGCTAAGTAAGATATAATTAATTTATAACTATAATTAACTAGGTGGCCAGGGTACCCGAAAGACTACTAGTTTCATGATCTAATTATTTACATGCAGCCCCCTGGCCTAGACCTAGGGAATCTAGAGGACCTCTAGGAATAGGCTAAGGCCTGAATCTGGATTATTATATGTTGGAATAATTCCCTCATTATTCCATGGAAAGGGACTAAAAGTTTTGTTTATGATGTCATTTTATTTGCCTCAAATTGCCTCTTTATTTGTTCTATTTGTTTCTATGTGGCAAGAGAATTTGTCTATAAATATAGTGATTCAGTCCTCTTGAATCACTAAAAAATCATCACTCTATCACTTCTTGATTCTATCTATTAGTTTGATCATTCATATATATATATGACTATATATATATATATGTCTTAAGTCTTCTTAATCACTTGATCTCTTCACTTGATTATACCTGTCTCATTCACTATATCAGAATTAGTGAATATCCTCAGTGAATATCTCTTATTCACTATCCTTGGACCGCTGAGTCCAATATTATAAGATAAGTAACACAAGTCATGTAGTAAGTAATTATATAAGTTAATAAAGAGATCTAGTTTAAGATAGCTTAGGTAGAACTAGAGATTATACCCATATAGCCTCTACTAGCCTATATAAATCTAGAGATAATTATATAACATGCCTGGCTATAATAATAGATTCTTATATTTTTTATATATATATAAGTGTCTTATAACTAGACTAGCCTGTGATACTAATTTTAAGTATATTAAATATAAGTATAAAAGTATATTTAGAAGTTTATACAAGACTCTAATTATAGCTAGTAAGAAGTCTATATAAGATCTTATATAAAGTCCTATTCAAGATCTTATAAAGAGTCTTATAAAGAATCTATAGACTAGCTATAATACATGACCTCTCTAAAAAAGACCTATTATTAATTCTGTCTTGCCTTGTTAAATTAATAAGTTTACTTAATTAAATAAGCCTGTCTTATAGTCTATACTCTTATTATACTTAATTAGAAGGTCTTAGGCTAGAAAGATTATTATAATTACTTTCTAATTCTCTTAAAAATTATTAAACTAGCCTGCTTCATGGCTGTCTATTAAGCCATTCTTATAGATCTAGATAGACTAGCTATATATAAATAGGCTTACTAGTGAGACTAGGATATATTCTTTACTAAGCCTGCCTGAAAGGTAAATATTATAATAAATAAAGACTTTCTCTTTCTTAGTAAGAATAAAGAATACTATAGCCAGGAGCTTACTAGTTCTTTTACTAGCCTGTAGTCTCTCACAGGGTCTCTGGGCCTGTCTAGCCTATAGCTACTTATGAGCTTACTATCCCTAACCCAGGGCTAGGGTTACTACTAGTCTGTCTGTGACTAGATTCAGGGATTTATAGACTACTATATAATCTAGGAGACTAATACTCTTATATAATATATATTTAATATATATTAATATAGTATAAAGATTTATTATAATATTACTACTAAGAATTATATAGACTAGATAAGTAAATATATTCTCTACTAATAGATTAAATTCACTATAAGCTAGTTTTATAAGTTTATTTATATTATAATAGCTAAGACACGCGTGATTTTATATAAGAGTCTAATATAAGTAGCTTCTAGTCAAGCACCTACTATCCTATAAGATATTATATATAATAATTCTAATAAGCAAGATACTAGCTAGTATTTTACCCAGGATAATTATACTCTCTAGCCTGTCTTAGGACTTATATAACTAGTAAATTATCTCTAGACTAAGCCTGGTCTATAATAATAATTTTATTAAGAATCTTTATAAAATCTGAATTATATAGATATATATTTTCAAGTAGTTACTAGTTTACTAATAATAATATAAATAGCTAGTAGAATATATTTATTAAGAAGAAGATAATTATCTTAATATCTGTTTATTATAAGAGATTTTATATAAGTAATAATATTAAGGCTATTTAGTAATATCTGCTACAGGATATAAGTAAGCTAGTAGTCTAATATCTTTAGCTAGTTCTACTCTTTATCAAGCAGCTGTAGATAGTTTATAAGATATACTAAGAGAGATCAAGACCCTAGGCAGGGTCTGAGGCAGGGTCCAAGCTAGGATCCTAGGTAGGGCCACAGGCAGGTGGTTAGAAGGGTGCTTGAATTAGTGGCTTTATAGCAGGGTAACCAAGGATCCCTCTCCTAGATTCTTGCTGGTTATATTTATAGAGTCTAGACCTAGGTATTAAGTAGTCATAAACCCCCAAGTATTTTTAAGGGTCATTAGGGTCATTAGGGTCATTAGGGTCATTAGGGTCATTAGGG